AATTCATGCCTTCTGCAGTAAGGGAGGAATTTAATAAAAGCCCACTTTGTGGGGGAAGGAATTAAAAAAGAAAGAGGCAGCTTGACTTTTAGGCAAAAAGCCAAGATTTTACAGAGCAAATTTATCATAGGTACCCCAAAGCTCAGAACAGCAATGCCAAGCCAGCCCCCTGCTATCTCTCAGGGCTGGAGCTTGGGCTGGGGAGGAGACCAGGAGCCTGATCTGCTGTGATGTGTACAGTCCTCACTTAAGAGAAAAGTCATTTAATACTTCAGCTGCCTTATCCTCCTGTGCAACTTCATTTCTCATTCTGCTCTGTAATGTTCTTTCTCCTTGGTTGGTCACTTGCTTTTGTACTTCAGACATGAAATTGAAGTTCTTGGATATTCTGGAGAGGTTTGTTCCCAGCCTCTGCTGCCTCACCTTTCTCATTCACCTTGGTGTGGAGTTTGCCTCTCCTCTCTCCCACTTCCCAAGTTTTGTCATCCCTGTCACTTTTGGGTGATGTGTATGCTCAGCATAAACCACAAAGGGTCTCCTGCTGCTGTGATGCTTCCTCCCAGCTGAATTCTCGCTCAGGCACCTTTCTGGGAATCTGTTAGCCTGTCTTTAAACCTGCTGATTTTAAACTTCATTCTCATGCTGTCTGATCCCTAGCAAATAGAGATGGTAAAAAGCGATCTTTGATTTTATGCCTTTAAAATTCTTTTTTGGCATTGTGGAGCGCTAGGAGACCCTCATAGAAACACAGTAACATTGCCAGTGCTGACAGCTGTCCAGTGTCCTGATGTCAGATTCCTAATGCCTCAAATATTTTTCCTATCAGATTAAGACAACAGTAGTTTTTCCTCCATGATCAGCCACAGATGCAGCAGAGGAGGTCTTTCAGTAGCCACCCAAATGTGAGGGGTCAGAGGAGTTAAAATAATGGGAAGTGATCTGCTCCATGGCTGCAGATGGCACATCTGCATTTAGAGGATATGGGACGAGAGAGGAAGGCGATGAGGTGGGAGTAAACATGCTGTGGGTGTTGGAAAGAGCTGCCTCTAAAATGGAGAGGAGTTTAAGACAGCAGGATGGGAGCTTTAGGAGAAAGGAATAACAAAATCAGATGTGGGGGTGATGCATAGGGGGCTTTTCTGCAAAAAAAGATTTCAGAGGGAAAAAGAAAGCTTGAATCCAAGCAGCTGAAAGAATAACTTTAATATCTGCTTAGATCAAAAGTTTCTATGGATTGAGAGATAATCCACTAGATAATCTGCCACATACTACTTCCCCAAGGAAAAGCATTGGGAAGGGAAGGTTAGTTTGGCGCAGTGCCCCGGATGTAAAGGCAGGTGATTTTATCTTCCTTTCTTCCACAGGCCGCCTTTCCACTCATCTCAAAGCATGTGTCCTGCCCAAAGGGAGGGGCTCTTGCTGTATGCCTGGTGCTTCTCTGCCACTCCAGAGTCATACTGTATCGCTGAAGAGGTTTCTCAAGCAGAAAGGAGTACAGAGAGCAAAATCACACAGCACTGGCTGACAGTATAGGCACATAGGTTCAGATGCTGATGGTGGTTTTGGCTGTCTGAGTGCAGGGTTGTGAGGGGCACTAATGGGCCACTTTATTAACACTTACCTTCTCTGTCTTGATTGCAATTGCCTTTCAAACAAACACCACTCAGTAACACACTCCTTAAAAGAAGTTTGAGGTCTGATTGCCAGCTTGCTTCAAACACTTTGCCTCTGAAATCTTTGGCAACAGCCCTCTCCATCCATTCCTGTTTCCTTTCTTTACAAACAGTGGTTGACTTCTTTGAGTAAGTTTAGTTTCCACAGCAGTAGAAATACTAGTTGCTGGAAGACACTTGAACATGATGGGGTTTTCCCCCCATGTATTTTTTCAAAATCAATATGGTACATTATCTCTTTTAACTAACACGTGCACCTGTATCTTGAACTGCACATGCATAACAGCCGTGCACATGTGGCAGAATTTGGATTAGTTGGATTGAGGGGGTTTAATAATTTTTTTAATTGTTATCTTCCTCAGCAGCAAATAAATTCTGTAGACTGGTTTGTGTTACTTCTGTGTTACGGGCCTGCATTTGTACCACCTCAGGTGAAGGGGTTTTGGCAGATCTCCTAAAGTCAGTGGGATTTGGCCTGTCAAATCCCAGACTCAGTCACAGGAGAAAGTACAGGGTGCCTCAGAGAAGAGCTGTCGTGGTTTGAAACTCCTGAACTAGCATTGGACAACTTCCCCAGCTTCGGCTGGGAACTTCTTCACAGCTAGCAAAGGAGTGAGTGTGGTAGAGGAGAAGGTTGATACGTAGTAGTGAAGCACTGGGGATAATGTGGGTCACGAAAGGGAGCAAGGGAAGCGTTTGGCTACCTCACTTGACATGCATGGAGTGGAAGGTAGGGGAACAGTTGCTGGTTTTCAGGTCTGAGTTTGCATAACTATTTGCTTAACACTTCTTTCTGGGAGAGAAACACGTGCTTGTCAGCCCTGAGAACTGTGTCTGGGAATCAGCAGCGTACTGGGTAAAAGGCATTTGATACCTTGCATTTACCTGGAGCTTCAGGAAGGTGTTGTTGAGCTCTTCTAGCAGAGAGGTCTACTCATGGGTGAGAGGGAAAATTGCAGCATTGATTTGAGTGAGAGCAGCCAAGCAGAAATAAATGACTGGGTTTTTTTTTTTTCAGCTTTGAAGGAAGTAAAAATAGTCAGATGTCCCCAGGAGCAGGCTGGAAATAGTGTAAATCAATACAACTGTGAAACATCTAGAAAAGAGGTGAACTGTGAGGTGGGAAAATGTACTGGGGAGGGCAGTTATGGAAGATGTAGGTCCTTCAGAGACATATCACAGTTTAACAAAATGAGGCAACAAGACAGCCCTATGACACATGAAATTTGCTGCACACAAGTGCTAGGGAATGCATGCTGAAAGGAACAACAGAAACTACTCTGAGAGCCTATCAAGTGTGTATGTGATGTGGACTTACACCACTGAGACAGAGGGAGGGTGGGGGAAGGAAACCATGAACAGATTTGTACTTCTTGTTGGTACAAAATACAAGCTGTTAGGCTGTGTTTAAAATAAAAGGATGGGGAAATGGGGAGTAATTCTGAGGGGAATCTCATGAGGTTCAGTTTTACTCATCTCCCACTCCAAAAAGAATAAAGTAGAAACATGCTGTGTGCTTCCCTGCCATATGCATAAGGAAGGATTTTCATGTCACCAGGAAGAGGGAAAAATGGCTGTAAACAGACAGAAACACTTAAAAGTGTTCAGAGAAAGAAGTGGGGTTCTTTCAGAACAATACAAATTGAAAAGGCTGCTTGTACTTGTGTTTTTTTTCACTACCTACAGTAGGGGAGCTTTTGTGGAGTCTATTTCTATACCGTAATAGAGAATGTGCTGCACAGAGTGAAAATGCTTGAAAAGATGGATTTGGTACAGTTTGAAAATGGGAATTGTGGATCATTGCTGGTAGTGAATTTGTTACTAAAAGTAATTATACAGATAGTGGGAGCTCTCTACTCAAAAGCAAAGAGGAACTTCTGGTAAAATCTAAATACAATAGTTTGAATTTTACAGATCCAATGGAACTCATTGCTATAAAACATTGCTGAAGTGGAGTTCTGTCTCTCCTCATGGGTTGTATAGCCATAAAAACGTTCTTTGCTGACTTTGTTAGAGGGGTGAAGATTCGGAACAGCTTTCAGATTTTGATCTTTGGAGAACCTGCTGGTTATGCATGGGGAAGGAAGGTATCTTCTGAGAAGGTGGCTCCATAGTTCCATGTAGCTGATGCCTCCTAGCCTCTGGTTGACCCTATGTGACAGTTCTTGCAGAGTGGTAGCGACTGTGCCTTGAGCACAGCCAGGACAGCTTCCTTTGAGGGGGAAAGTGAGTGAGCAGATATGGGGTACTTAGTTGCTGGCTGGGATTAAACCACAAAACAAGAAAACTTATGGGTTAAGAACAATTCAATAATTGAAGTAAAATATTATAATAATAATGGTAATAATTATTATTTGTAATGAACAGGGAAATTTTTTAAAAGATAAATAAAATCCACAAAGACAACTGATGCAAGTGAAAAAAATTGCTCACCACTGACCTATGCCCAGCCAGTCCCTGAGGAGTGGCCCCTGGCCAACTTTCCCCCAGTTTATATGCTAAGCATGATGCCATATGGTCTTGGATGTCCCTGTGGTCAGTTGTCTGTGTCCCCTCCCAACCTCTTGTGCACCCCCAGCCTGCTCACTGGTGAGGTGGTGTGAGAAGCAGAAAAGGCCTTGACTCTGTGTAAGCACTGCTCAGCAGTAACTAAAACATCCCTGGGTTATCGATGCTGCTTCCAGCACAAGTCCAGCATAGCCCCATGTGAACTACTATGAAGAGAATTACCCTAGCCAAAACCAGCACATCTAGTTTAGCAGAAATTTTGCAGGTCAGCATGCTTTATTACTCCAAATGAGGACCTGATGTTGTTTAACTGATGTGGAAACCATGCCACAAAGCTGTGAAGCTTTGGAAGAATGAAACAAGTTGTTCAAGAAACTGCTGGTGTAGTAGAGGTCCCAAAAAGCCTTGTGTGTCCTGAACTCTGCCCATTAGCATGTGTTGCCTTTCATTTTATTAAAAGTCATTTTAATTAAAAATACGTTGGCAGTTAATAACTGGCTGTGGCTTTCTTGTCATCATACCTGCAGAGGGCTTGTGACACTCTGGTGTGTCAGAAAAGCTGCTGTTCTCCATCTTTCTGTGCTGTGCCTCAAGCAGCTGCAGGAGCGTTGTGCTGTGAGTCATGGACTAGACCTGCCTTGCTGTCAGAGTACATAAAGCTCTCAGTGGGAGCAAGACAAGCATAGCTCAACCAGCACTGTTTTGCCTTATGAAACAACCCAGTCCACCGAGATTCACATCCTTTCCTGAGGGTCTGGCTGCTGCCAGAGAGTCTCCAGCTTTGGCTTCTTCATGTTAAGAAAGGTGCTTTCCTCCTAGGATCTCCCAGCGGGTGGAGGCCAGCCGGGCACAGCTTCAGGCAATCGGGGAGAGGGTCACACTCGCCCAAGCGAAGATTGAAAAGATAAAGGGCAGCAAGAAGGCTATTAAGGTAGTGACTTCAGTTGAGTCTGCATGGTCTCCCTTCTTCCTTCCACCTTTCCTCTTTACTCCTGATGTAAGCTATGAAGAAGAATAGGTTGCCACTCATCTCTCCCTGCCTCGCTGCTGAGCAGGGTTGTGATGAGAATCCCTTTCCTGACTTGGCCAATTTATGATTTCTAGACCTATGAGCCTCACAACTCTAGGCCTTAGGAGGCTTATATAGGTTGCTGCCCCTGCTGCTTCCTGAGAAAGGGCATATGCTTAACTAAGCCAAACATCCTCACACTTCAGGCTTATAGACACTTTGTTTGAATGAAAGCTGCTGTTACAAAGCCTCCTCTTAGTGCATCTTAATCCTGTTGAGCCATGTAAAACTGCTGAAAATCCTTTGGTCCCTATTTTTCTTACATTTTATGTAATATTTCTAACTCCCTAGTGGAAGCCTTTCTGACTTCCTAGTACTTAGAGAGAGAAGCTCTGGCACTTCCAGTTTTAGAAGTGACAGCCCATGCATGTTTGGGTCCAAGGCTGTCCATTCCCACTGGCAGCATAGATTCTGTGCTTGCCCCCCTCCTGGAATCATAGAATGGTTTGGGTTGGAAGGGACCTTAAACATTATTTAATTCCAACCCCACTGCCACGGGCAGGGGTTGCTCCAAGCCCCGTCCAGCCTGGCCTTGAACACTGCCAGGGATGGGGCAGCCACAACTTCTCTGGGCAACTTGTGCCAGCACCTCACCACCCTCACAGTGAAGAACTTCTTCCTAATATCTAATCTAAACCTCCTTTTTGTCAGCTTAAAGCCATTCCCCCTTGTTCTGTCACTACTTGCCCCATAAAATCCCTGTCCTAATTTCTTGTAGCTCCCCTTAGGTACTGGAAGCTGCTCTAAGGTCTCCCCAGAGTCCTTCTCCAGGCTGAACAAGCCCAACTCTTAGCCTGTCTTCATAGAAGAGGTGCTCCACCCTCTCCTAAGTATTGCTGTATTATAGGGCTGCCTAGTTGTTGAGGTTTTTCAGTCCCTCCTTGTTCCTCCACAGGTGTTTTCCAGTGCCAAGTATCCAGCTCCTGAACGGCTGCAGCAATACAGTTCAATATTTGCTGGTGCAGAAGACCCAGCTAAACAGAAATGGCCAAGACACAAGATTCAGAGCAAACACCGAATGCTGGATGAGAAAGCTCTGCAGGTAAGGAGGAGGAGAATAGACCTTGAGATGAACAAGCAAAGAGAAGCTGGGAAGCTGCTAGTCTCTTTGAAGAAGTAGACCAGGGCTTTTGGATGTAGGCTGGGACCAGAACATCTTTCTAGTTCAGCCTGTTGATGGGTATGTCTGAAGTCAGGCTGGGAAGCTTGTAGAGCTGCCAGTTGGAGAGGGCCGTGTCAGTACAAGACCTTGGCTGGGTGGTTGAGTGCACTGTGTGGATGTCAACTGCCAACTCTCTGGAGCAGTTCTATGTCCTGAAATGCTACTGTGTCCTGTAGCAGTGCTGGTGGGTGCTGCTGGCTGGGCTTAGGGCTTCAGATATCCATAGCGAGGTGACTGGAATCAGGGTCATAATTGCTTGAAAAGTAGTTTTTGAAGGCTCCAATACAAGTGGTGGTGTGAAGGGAAAGGTAAAAGTGCTTGGGAGTGTGTCAGGAGAAAGGGGAGTCAGAGCGTTTTCTGTCCTAGGAAGGCATTGTGATTGGGTATTGTCCCTCCCTGGTTTTACATGTTGAGGAGGAAGATCGTTTTGCTTATTTACCTCTTTCATTTGTGCTTTGCTTCTCCTTTGCCTTGTATTCAGCTATTGTAGGTTGCAAGCCTGTCAGTACCCAGCACAGCTGGGGCTTCCAGGTGTGCATATAGAACTGATGTACGTAGCTGGTGGTGTTGAAGGAGTTCCTGAAGTAGCACCGCTCTGCCTGACTGGCAGAGGAGCTTCTTAAGGAGGTCTTAGAAGTTTTGGGTTTGGCAAGAAATGCTGCCAAAGGATTTTCCAGCAATTTGGGTCAAATCCCTGGGGTGGAAGGAGAGAAGGAAGAGTTGCTGTTCTTAAAGTTGAAAAGTTGCTGTGTACGCGCTGTGCCAGGAGTAGCAGATGTGCTCTTCTTGCAGGTTAGGGATCAACCTGACAACTTCCCTACTCTCCATCCCTAGAGAGACTTCCTTCCTCATCCTTGTGTGCCTCAGCCCAAAAATAAAGCTGCCACTGAATAATTTATCATGCTAAACTTTGCTGAGTGTTAACGGAGCTGAGACCTTGCACGGTGAGGTGGTTATGAATATTTCAGCCAGGCCACGAAGCAGGGTTGCTGGCCAAATGGACAGCTGGCAAACTTGAGCAAGGTTCATGCTTCCTTCGAGCACAATGGGCAGAGCTGTGTGTGGGACCTGCTGCTGCACAGCCAGAGGATGCTGGTTGCAGTTGTACTGTCTCGCTGGTGGCCCCATCCCATCAGAGCATGATGGGGCAGCAACGGTAGGCAGTGAGTGGGCAAGGGTGATGCTTTCCCACCCTGAAGGGCTGGTGGCAGTATACAGCCACTCACACAGAGAGGGGATTGGGAGAGGGCATCAGCTGGTAAAAAACAGTGTCCTGCAAAGAGCAAATGGTGTGCCCATTCAACTGGCCTGCTGGCTCCAGTAGGCCCTGCATGACCCTCCCCACAGCACCCCATGTCACCTCTTCCCTGTTCCAGGTGGTCTCTGTACATTGCCATGTTCCGCCCTTCATGACCAGGGCTGCTTCAGCAGAGGAACTGTTGCAGGCCCCTAGGGATGTTTGTATTTGTTCCTCCCTTCCTGTGTCCCATTTCTTCATCTTCCTCTGGGGCTGTTGATATTTCTCTGGCTTTGCTGACCCTACCTCATGCAGTGGTCTTGTTACTTTTGCCAAGCTCATACACCTGTGGGGTGAGGGAACACTGCTGGCTGTCAGACGATGAATGTGCTCCTGTGCCAGGAGCATCTGGCACAGCAGTGGGGCTTGGAGCAGCCAAGCTCTGACCACATTCAAGAGGGACAGGCCCTTCTTGGCCATAGTTGAGCACAGAGCCTGACTTATCTTGCAGTAATGAAATGTGACAGAGGGAAGTCTAATGTTTGCATTTGTGCCTTCCTCAATTATTTAGGGCTTTCAGCAGAGGCTTGCTGCCTGTTTTCACTTCTAATGAGGGCCTCTTTGCTGGGAGCAGTTGCAGTGGCCTTTGCTAACTTCACTCGCACATGCTTCACCAGGAAAGCAAGTTCTGCTTTTGTCAGTTTGAGGGTAAGTGGTGGCAGCCTGTGCTCAGCGTTTAGGGTTTGTGCTCTGGGGGTAACCAGCTGCGTTGGAAATGTGTGTGGTTCTGCAGTGTATTTAAAAATGCTTCCCCTGTGGGAAATTCTCCTTTCCCACTTTGCATCCCAATCAAGAGAAAGCTCAGCTGTTGAGAGGCGCTGTTTAGGCTGGTAGGACAAGCACTGATGGATAAGAGTGCCAGAAACAAGGTCCTTGTGGTAAGCCTGGAAGGCCATTTGCTTTGCACATTGCTGTGGTAGCAGCCAGGCAGAGTTCAGCAGTGAGTTGGGGCTGGCACTGGTTGCTGCCTTTGCAGTAGGAGCTGTGTCTGGGTGCTGTCCTTAGCAGGCTGGTAAACAGGGTGGGAGACATGTGCCTGGGCTTGGGAAGAAGTCCAAACAAAAGCTGCAGTCCACTGCTGGAGCAGTCTTTCTGGGCTTCAAAACTGTCAGTAACTTGGTGTGTCTGTGAATTCTGCCTCTCTCCGAGTCCACCATGGGCATGGGGAGGCTAAACCAGGCGTTTGGCACTTGCCCATCTTCAAGTGCTTTTTGAGCTAGCTTCAGCACTCCCTTGGCACTGAGGGAATGGAGTTTCTGGTGTATCATACCAGTTCCCTTTGTAATAGTACATGCTGAATTAAACTTAAGCACCAGGATCTTTGTATATATTTTAACTGTAGGGTCTTAGGAAGAAAAAGGCCTGGAAATGCAGCATCCTTAGGGATGTGATCCTGCCAGGTGCCAAACCCTAGCATTCCGTTGCCCCCCATGCCTTCAGTATGCCAGTGCTGCCGAACCTTTGTCTTAAGGCTTTAATGTCCCTATAAGAAAACTGATGTTTTAAATGGCATGTTAACTTGTGGACTTGACAGTTGTACGACATGACAATATGTAGCTGTTATAAATTTCAAACCATATCTAGGTAGTTGACTAAGACCAGCACTTTGGTGTCATTTAAGTTAAAAGGATTATGAAGAGCCTCACATTTCTGAGTAATACTCGTGTTTAGTGCTTTTATAACTGCCTTAGATGAGACTTATAATAAGTAAATTTAGGTAATGGTTGGTTTCTCACTATGGCCTTAAAGCGACTCACATACTTCCAGTGCTAACTGAAATCTACAAAGAGAGAATTAAAAAAATACAAATATGACTTGGGGGCTCAGTGTGTGTGAGCAGTTCTAGCAACAACGTCAGCACTCCCTCATGCTTAAAAAATTCAACATTGGCAAATGAATATTAATGCTTCAAAAGAACCTTTATTTTTGAACCTCTGCTTCTACAGCTTCTAAATAAGAGTTTGTTTATTTTTGCCTCCTTGCCTCTGTAAAAATTCAGGATGTTTGTTTCAGTGTGTTTTTCACACATTTGAATGTGTTCTTCGGGGGCCAGGGAATGGATTCAATCAAAACCTCCCAGTTTTTTTCCTATAGCGTTTTATAGGCTCAGAGCATCATACAAACTCTTAGCTGATTAACTGAGCTGTGACTAAGCCATTTCCCAGGATTTCTGGCTACCAAATTCAAGACTGAAATTTCAATCATCAGGAACTGCTCATGTTGCTGAAATGTGGTCTTGAAACTGAACCCATGGTGATCTCCATTTCCCCTATACAAGTATAAGAAGGGAAGAAGGACTCGGAGGATGGGATAAAGCAGGGATGCTAGAAGTAGTGAGGCAGTAGGATGCTGTGGAAGGTATTTGGAGTGGTCATTTTCTGGTGACAGAAGAAAACCAGAAGAGTGTGGCCAGTTATTAACAACCTGTCCTGGGTAGTGCTCTGGTTTTGTCTGGTTTGAACACCTACCACCTCATAGCTGCCAGGCTGCTGCTTGCCCTAGTTTGTAAGGGAAAAACAGGAACTGTGAAGGGGCTGAGGGAAGTTGTGAGAAGGGGTCTGGGGTGGAGGTTTGTCCATCCCGAGCTGTCTCTGGGTACAGGAACTGTGAAGGGGCTGAGGGAAGTTGTGAGAAGGGCTCTGGGGTGGAGGTTTGTTCATCCCGAGCTGTCTCTGGGTTCAGGAACTGATGCCTTTACTCCCTGTACAGCAGTGTGCTGTGGGCAGTGAGCTCCATCTCCCCAGAGCATGTGGCAGCAGGCACTGTCATGCTATCTGAAACGCTGCTCTGATCTGGGATGGCAATTCCTGTGCTCTATAAAAGTAAAGCAGTTCAGATGTAATAAGTCCTTTTCTAAAGGGAGCTCTATATATTATGCATGAAGTTTTAGAACTGAGAGAGAGGAGATTTCAGTTCATTAGAGTTGAAAACTCCTGTAAATCCCTCAGGCTTTGCAGAACCATCTGGCACACATTCCACCCTGCGCACTTTCTTCTGCCTGCTCTCTTACCTTGTGCAGGCACTCTGCTTTTTCCTAACCTCTTTTCCTTTGCCTTCCCTGCATACGCCACCAGTGGGATCACAGCTCTTAAAACATCAACTGAAGGCAGCAGAGGGGAGGTAATAGAGATGTTTGGAGGACTCTGCCTGCATGAAAATGTCTAGTAGCTGGAGACACTAGACTTTGGTGTTTGATCCCTGCCTCTGGCTACAGAGTCCTGATTGTTGTTTTATTTTGGTGGATCCAACATCTGTTCAATATGACCCATCCATGGCACCAAAAGTACATGCCATGAGTCTGAACTGCTGAAATTTGTCACAAGTGTGGGGTTGCAATGTTGTCCATGTGCTTCCCTGCTCAAAGGGAGGTGGAGAGGGAGCAGTAGGAGAGCTGTGGCTGTATGTCTTACTACCTGTTATCTGTCTTCTTGCAGGAGAAGCTCAAGTACTACCCTGTGTGTGTGAGTGCCAAAATTCACCAGGAGGACGATGCAGAAGAAGGCCTTGGCAGCCTCCCCAGGAACATCAGCTCCCTCAGCTCCCTGCTGCTGTTTAACACCACCGAGAACCTGTGAGAGCTGGAGTAGTGCTGTGCTGCTCACCTGCCCCTGCTTGTCCTCAGAGGAGCTTTCCCTTCCCCAGGGGTAGCAGTCACTGCTTGCTTCCCTGGGTGTCTTGTGTATCGGGTTCCTGATAGGACAGGGTTTGATTCCTCTCTGCTGGCTTCCAGCTAGCAACCCTTTTTTACCCACTCTTTCCCTTGAGTGGAAGGAGTTGTTTTGTCTGTACCTAATCTTCCACTCACTTGTTTTCAACCCAGTTTTGCATGTCCCTTTGCTGACTTAGTTTTTCCTGTCATTCCCCTGTAATTTCTCTCCAGCCTTGAGAGCTGCTGTCACTCCTGCCCTTCTCTGCCCCATGTGCCAGCCTAGGTACTGCTCCTTCTTTTGATGATTCCTCACAGCAATGCTTCACCGCTTTTGCTGCTTTTGTATCTCCCCTGCCTCCCTCACTGCAGTTCCCATTCCCATTGGGCTTTGCCTCCTTCTCCTCATATTGAAGAGCTTCTTTAAGCTCTTTCTTGAACTTTCAGTTGCTGGACCTTCTCTTTCTTCTCCTGAGCTTTGGATTATTTCTCCTGTTTTTCCTCCTGGAGCTTGAGTGACAAGTCAAGGAGAGACTGGTGTCCTGCTGCAGGGAAGGGGAGAGCTTGGTAATGATGGCAGTGCAGCAGGGCTTTGTTTTAGGATGAATGTGGAGGCTGCACTAGTAGGGTGGGGAGCTGATTGGAGAGGAAAGAAAGGAAAATGGGGCTAAAAATGGGGAGGAAGTTCTTCACTATGAGGGTGGAGAGGCACTGGCACAGGTTGCCCAGAGAAGCTGTGGCCACCTCATCCCTGGAATTGTTCAAGGCCAGGTTGGATGGGGCTTGGAGCAACTTGGTCTAGTGGAAGGTGCCCCTGCCCATGGCAGGCGGTTGGAGCTGGATGATCTTTAAGGTCCCTTCCAACCCAAGCTATTCTGTCCCTTCCAACCCAAGCTATTCCTGTGAAGGAAACTGGAAGGCTCAACATGACTCGTGAGTCAGAGGTCTCCACCACCAAGGGTGCACTGTTTCTTCTGGTTTTGGCTCCTGAGACAGCATCACTGAAATACTTGTCCTCTACCCATAGGTACAAGAAGTATGTTTTCCTGGATCCTCTGGCTGGAGCAGTGACCAAGACCCATGTGTCTCTGGAAACAGAGACAGAAGAGAAGCTCTTTGATGCTCCTCTCTCCATCACGAAAAGGGGACAGCTGGACCGACAGGTGAGATGCAGCTGTGGGGATGCATCTACTTTTCCTTCAGGGGACTTCTGCCCAGGCTGTTCCCTGCAGTGCCCTTCTTTGCTGCAAGAAAAAGCAAGTGCATAGTCACTGACTTACCTTTTTGTTTTGGGTTTCTTTTAGGTAGCTGAAAATTACTTCTATGTGCCAGACCTGGGGCAGGTCCCTGAGATTGATGTGCCATCCTACCTGCCAGACCTGCCTGGCATTGCTGCAGATCTCATGTACAGTGCTGATCTGGGCCCGGGCATCGCGCCGTCTGCCCCCAGCAGTGCTATTCCAGAGCTCCCCACTTTCAACACCGAGTCAGTGGAACGTTTGCAACCAGGTATTTCTGATTCCTGATCCCAGGACCCTGTGGAAGAAAAAGGCAGGGATTGCTAAAAGATGAAGACAAGGCAAAAAGACCCTTGGTGGGGATTTAAAGATGGATATTTGAGATAGATAACCTCTGGCTTGTGCTTGGGCCTGAGTCAACCTGCTCAAGTGCTGGCCAGTCTCCTGGCCCCTTCCGTCCCTCACCCTCTGCATGGCTCTAGAGGTGGGAAAACTGTGTGCCTGGGGACTGGCCCCATGGTGGGATGCTCTTGTGTGAGTGGGATGCAGCTGGGGAGGGCAGAGTAGGGGAATCTCAAGCCCTGCCTATTGTCAAGAGATGCTGCATAGGGTAGGAGCACACTGCTGTACAGTGTGTGCTGAGGCCTCTGCTGTGTTGCTGATGAGGCATGAGAAGTTCTGAGCTGCAGCTTTCACTGTGCTGTCCTCTGGGACTCTTCAGATGCAGCTTGTTTCATCTTTCAGACCTTCAAGAAGCTGAGCTAATGCCGCCTCCTCCACCACCACCACCTCCTCCACCGCCTCCTGTTATGCCAACTACCGTGCCTCCTCCGCCACCCCTGCCTCAGCCCCCAGCCCCCTCTGAGCCAGCCCGGACAGGGAACGAGGAGAGCAGCAGTGCTGTGCCTGCAGGTAAGGGCAGGGCATCTCCACGTTGCACCAGCAGAGTATAGCTCTGATGCCTTGGCTTCAGCCCATGGCCTTTTTGGTTCCCTGTAGCTTCCTAGCCTTCTGGCAGAGGAGGGAAGCTGCAGTGAGAGTGCAAGGTGCTCCCACCTGCCTGGTAGCTGCAAGCCTTCAGTTTGGCAGGGCTCCTGCTGGCTGGGCTGAGTATAAGCCTGTCACTGAGAGGTGTCTGGATTACAGCCCTGAGCAGAAGCTGGCAGGGTATCAGATCAGCCCTTTCCATGGGGATTTAGCTGTGCCTATAGCTTGTGCACTGCCGCCTGGCTGCTGCCTGTCCTTCCTGTCCCTGCAGCTTCAGTCCAGGGAGCCCCAAAGGAGGTGGTGAACCCCTCTACTGGGCGTGCCAGTCTCCTGGAGTCTATCCGCCAGGCCGGTGGCATTGGGAAGGCCAACCTCCGCAGTGTCAAGGAGAGGAAGCTGGAGAAGAAGAAGCAGAAGGAACAAGAGCAAGGTACTGAGGCAGATCTTCCTTGCTGTCAGCCCCAGGCTGGGGAGGTGTAGGGCTGGAGGCAGATGGGTAAGCCAGGCGTGCTGTGAGCACACAGAATGGAAAGGCGTCCTCTCTCCTCACAGGCTGGCGGAGGCCTCAGTGCTTCACATTTAGCCATATCTCTGTGAACTTGCTCAACACCATCTGCCAGAAGGGTGTTCGTGTTCTTGATGAAGACCCACTCTGTCTCAGGGCAGGCGTTGCAGTCCCCTGCTGCATGGGGCAGACACAGAAAGGAAGCCTTACAGGCAGGAGGGTCAGGGCTGAGCCCATTTGAGCGCCTCAGTTTAGGCAGCTGGGGAGGGCACTGATGGACTGGTTTGGCAGAATAAGACTGCAAATGCACAGCCCCTCTTGTCTCTCAAGAATTGCATGCTTGGATTTCCCTAGAAGATACTGTTACTCTTTGGTGGGTGGGGTTTTCCTAACCTGAAACTGGACTATAGTGGGAGGGAACAGGGTTGTGATGCAAGATTAGCAGTTTTTCGTGGTTTTATTTCTTTAATCTGAAGGCAGTATTGCAGAATGCTTTTGTCGTAGTGCTGGGTCAGACTGACGCTGTTTCTTGGTTGAATTGTTCTGTTTCAGTGAGAGCTACAGGACAAGGTGGAGATTTGATGTCAGACCTCTTCAACAAGCTGGTGCTGAGGCGCAAAGGTACTGTCTTGCAGGGTGGCTGCTCCTTCCTCTAAGAAAGAGAGAGAGCACTTTTGCCACCTCACTTGTGGCACGCTCAGTTCTAGATAAAGGAACAGACCTGGGGGAGGCTTTGGCAGGTACATGTGGTATTTAGGGCTGGTGTCACCCCTCAGTGCCTGGCACAAGGCAGAGGAGGGCATAGACTTGCTCAGGAATCATGGAATGGTTTGGGTTGGAAAGGACCTTAAACATAATTTAATTCGAACCCCCCTGCCATGGGCAGGGGTTGGTCCAAGCCCTGTCCATCCTGACTTTGAACACTGCCAGGGATGGGGCAGCTACAACTTCCCTGGGCAACCTGTGCCCATGCCTCACCATGCTCATAGTGAAGAATGTTTTCTTACTGTCTAATCTTAATCTTCCCTCTTCCACTTTAAAGCCATTACTCCTTGTCCTGTCACTACAGGCCCCTGTAAAAAGACGCTCTCCAGATTTCTAGTAGCCCCCTTTAGGCACTGGAAGCTGCTCTAAGTTCTCCCTGGAGCCTTCTCTTCACAAGGCTGAACAAGCCCAGCTCTCTCAGCTTGTCTTTGTAGGAGGAGCTTTAGTTAAGTGAGCCCTTGGCACCAGGGCAGGGGCAATGCTTAAGCATGTTGCCTGGGTGCTGGGCACAGCCATGCGAGGTGTGGGTTTTTTGTCTCCTTTGCTGAGCCTCTGTGTTCTCTAGTCTACAGGTGTCACCCACTGCTGCTTTTTCGTTCCCTCACAGGTATTTCAGGGAAAGGGCCGGGAACCTCTGGCAATCCTGATGCTCCTGGAAGTCCTGCTGGTGCCTTTGCTCGTATGTCGGACTCAATACCCCCCCTCCCACCGCCACAGCAGCCGGTGGGTGAGGAGGATGAGGATGACTGGGAGTCATAGATGGGGTCAGTTGAGTATCGGTGTGACCCTCAGGACTCTGGAACTAAGCACCTTTGTGAGACACCATCTATGGAAGCACCTCCTGGAGGGTGGGCAAGCAGGAGCAACAGAAACCAACTGCTGCTGAAGTTATAGTTACCAGTGAAGGCTTTTCTTCTGCTGCCTTCTACTCTGCACCCACAATACTACATTTCATCTCAAATGCTGCTGCGGCTCACACTGGCTCAATAAATCCCGCCTTAGCTGGTGGGCAGTGGGGCAGCCTGTGCTTGGAGGACCAGAACTAACATTGCTCCTGATTTAAAGGGCCCTCTGTCTTTCCTAATGTGACTGGTGATGACTGCAAAAGCATCTCTTTCAGGCAGACAGCCCTGGCCTCATTCATCTCCTCACTGCTTGCTGAAGCTCCTGCTTGCTTGGGTGTTGCTAGATCAAATGAATGTGTGTGTATCCCTTCTTGGGGGTCTAATTCCTGGTGCCTCTGCACTTGGTTTCTTTCCGTACCTGGCTCATGGTAACACTTTGCCTGTCTGAAAAAATTCAATAAAGTTGAAGGAAGCCTTGACTTCAGTAAAAGCAGGAAGCATGCTTGTTGGGAGTGTGTTAAGGGAAAGCCCATCTATCCACTCTCACCTCAGGCTGGGGCTAGCCTTACACCCTAGCTCTTACAAGCAGGTGCCCCCCCAATCCTGCTGCTGCTTTCACTGGTGTTAAGGCAGAGCTCATGCCAGACTGATGGGTTTGTACCCACTGAAAGGGTAGGAGACTCTCATGGAAGTTTCTCAGGAGCAGCTGTTTCTTCCCCTGCAGGGCTAGTTAACATAGGAGTGAGCACTAGCTCTTTCTCATAATTGTAAGTGCTTTCTTAATTGTGAAGAGCCTTGAGCAGTAGTATCCACCTGCTGAAACTGGCAGGGAAGCAAACGAGCCTGGGAAGAACCTTGTTCAGGGTGACAGAGCTGGGAAGGGCTGTGGGATGGCGTGGCCATCCCTGTTGTTACCACTGACCCCCAGCCTAGGAAGCAACCCAGGAAGGTTGGTTACATTAAAAAACAAGGTTTTACCATTTTCCACAGAAAGGTATGTTGCTGTTGTTACTGCCTATGTTTTTTAATTCAAAAGACCAGAGCAATCCTGTGCATAAGCATGCTCAAAGGAGAAGAACTGTGCTGTATTATGGCCATACTGTTACTCCCCTTCAAAGAATGAACCTCCTTGAATCTATTGCCTGCTTGAAGCAAGGTGGAAAGAAGGGGAGAGGAAATGTTACCTTTAGCTGCTCTGTCTTACCAGGCTACCATGTATTTCCAACATGACACAAACTACTGGCCTGATAGTTTACAATTCCTGTGAAAAGCTGTTTTCAGTGGTCGTCAAGCTCCCCCCCAACTTGGTGGTCTGTGGGAAGAGGCAGATGTGTTCAGTCAAACTAATGATACTCCCAGTACTTAAGTGTTTTGTGTTGAAAATATTTAATCAACTTAAATAAACCTTAACAGTGAAACAAACAGAAGTAAACAAATAGGACCCTCTCAGTACTGCCTTGACCTATCTCAGGCCTACAGTCAACTTCTCTCCTGGTTATGGTGCCTTACCATCATGGTGCTCAGATACTGAACAGCAAACATCCACACAGGAGGCAGAAAGCAGAAATTCACAAACTCCTTGGTACAGAAAAGCATGAACTGGTGGTGTTTCAGGTATTCTTCAGAGGGGTAGCTCACAGAGTTGACCTACAGCCCGTTCACTGGTCCACATCACGAAGCATCCAGCTTCTTTCGATGGAACTAGAAACACATAAAACCAGGCAGTTTTTTCCTGGCCTTACTCTGAAGTGAAAACAGAGGGAACTGCTTTGGTAACAGCACGTAAGACACATGTTCTGACCTTTCTTAACTCTGCAAACGCTGCTCCAAAGGCAGGTTTCACCTGGGTTCTCTCCCTGATCCACTGTGGCAGTTTGTTAAAGATGGCAGGGCGTGCATACCTGTGGTCCAGGAGCAGGATGCTTGCAAAGTCCTTCTGATGCCGAATGGCTCTGCCTGCACAGAGCGTACATACACATTAAAATAGCCCACCAAAGTGTTTGCTCATGGGCAAGGAAGCTCATGCTCCCATCATCTGTACTTAGATGGATTAGTAATGCATCCTTTTTTCCCACCCTCCTAATTCAGTGCAGTCACGTTTTGTATCCCTCAGCCTGGCAAGGAAGGATGAATTACCTATAGACTGGTTTACTGCCTTCATGCACAGGTTTTCAATCAGCACTCTACTAGGTGGCTGGCCAGCAGTTCTGGGCTGGAAAGGAGAAACAGGCAAGACTGAACATGAGGCAGATGATGTAAATCAAGCTGGGGAGTCTTACTGACAGAGTAAGGCAAATGCTTTTACCCCTGCAGTGTGAGAAACGCCAAGCAGACCCCAAGCTGAGAGTCAGAAGGGACAGAAGAAAAGTTGCAGTCAGAAAACAATTTTGAGCATTCACAAAGAGCCAGCCCAGGGCCCTCTTGAAGGCAGGAAACTTGTCCCCAGCTGCCCAGTAACAGCATCTCCAGTGGGCAGAGAGAAAGGACAAGTGAGACAAGAGAAGTGATTCTGGCAAGCAGCTTCTACCACCATGCCACCTCCTCTGGAGTGACAGGACCTTGCTCCCCTTCGAACTTGGGGCTCCCAGTGAGCCCCTCCACTGTGCTGCTTAGCTGTGCTTAGGGCCACTTGTATGTGCGCAGTGTGGACTCTTGGAGCAAGCTCAACAAGCTCAAACAATAATGTCTCAAGGCAGCCCTGGGACTTATGTGCTATGAGGAAAAGTTAATACTAAAAAGCAGAAGTGAAACAGGCGGATGTGTTTCTATTACCATTGTTTTGTCAAGCCAAGCCATTTTTTCCTGGAGCTCTGGAGATTTAATGTTGGGGTAAGGCATTCCCACCATAATCACACACCTGCAAGGGAGAAGGACTGCATTATTCTTAATGTCTCATCCTAGAGCACTTTGCCAACAGACTGATAAATTAGAGGTCACTGCACCCCTGAAAGACAGCCAGCCCTGAAAACCAAAGGTGGCAATAAAGCACAGCAGTCTGACAAGCACGTTCTGAACAGAAAGCTGCAAAGGGATTCTGGGTGCCAGAACAAGGGATTATCTAGCACAGCAAGCCTAACTGCATTACTCATGTGAAAAGTAGCCTGGACAAGTGGGTTTTACACCACCCAGCAAACCTAGGCCCGTTGGTTTAAGCATCAGCCCAAGCCATGTGCTCCCCAGGATTTTCTATCTATGCAAGTGCGTGTGCATCCTGCCTGGAATTGCCACACCACAAGCCCAGTGCTCACCCTCCAAGAAGCAGCCCCCTTACCTTCCCAGGTCATCAGAGAAGTTGATCCCTTCACTCATTTTGCCTCCAACCACAGAAAGCAGCAGGGCCCCTGTCATCTGTTCTCCTGCCTGGCTGCAGCGCTGCAGGAGAGGGACCAGCAACTTAAACCAGATTTCTGTGCTTCAGAAACACTCCCACACCTGGGCTAGAGCCCTCCTGCCTTGCTAAAAGTTGCACTGCCCTCTTCAACAGCGCTCCCACCAGCTCAGCTTACCTTTATGCACTTGGCATATTCCACCAGCACCTGCTCCACCTGGTTGGCTTTCTTAGGCTCCTGAAAGATCTGTCATGGGCACAGTGCCTCAGTTGCAGCAGAAGGAAGCAAGCAGTTTAAAGAAAGCAAATCATTTTACTCCCATGCTGTTAAACTGGTCAGGGAAGGGCATATGATTGCCTGAAAACCCAACATAAGCAGCACCTTTCCCCTCCAGCCTGGAAGCACACTGCACACTCACTACAGCACTTCTCAAGTGGGAAGTTGAAGGGCTCCGAAGGGAGCAGCAGCTGCTCCTGCCCCTTGACATTCCCTTTCAGCTGTGGCAGACCTATCTGCTTCTGCAATAAGTTACAAGTCATCTGGGAGCCAAAAGGCGGAAATACACCTCTGTGAGTAAAGACCCAGTGGAGTGAGGAGTCCTCCAGCTGCAAGATCTTGGAGGACAGTGACAGGACCAATCAATTCAAATCACCAATTAATTCCAAGTAATCACTCCCCTGGCACAGTGAGCAAATTAGTTTTCTATGCAAAGCATAAAGTAATATTTCTTTATGTTATTCTAGCATGCCTAATTAGTTACTGAAAGCCCCTGCAGTTAATTAAGCTGTATTTTGATAGATGCTGCACTTTGGCCCAAATCACAAGTTGTTTGCCTAGTAAACAAGAGGTGCAACATCTGTCTTGTGTGACAGTAGAGAACCTAAACAATGTATTTGTTCTTGGTTAGCAAGAGGTACTATCAAATTTTACCAGCCAGAAACAGTCTTTCAGTAGAAAAATACCAAGCAATTACAAACATAAGCCAAAACTATTCAACTTATTAAAGAGTAGCTATTTCATCCTATGATTTAAATGAATTTTCCCTGTGTAATGTATATATAATCTCAGTGTGATCTCACCACAGCCACCTTAGGAAAGACTTTAACCTTCCTTTGCTATGATACAATCTTGTGTGTGGGCAGCTGAAAGTCACACTTGCTGCACTTCTACCAAATTGCTTTGCTAATGCATATCCAATTTGCTGGAGACTGCAAAGGCCAAACAAGAACAAATCGGAGCTGAAAGGCAGATCAAGCTGCCTTGGATCAAAGCCTTGGAGCAGCAGGCAGGCCCTGGGGACCCTGACAGAACACACCTGAAAGACACCAGGAGTGATACAGATGGAGAAGCTGAAGCACAATGCTCCCACCACAAAAACCTGCAGGCAGATCCACATGCCAGAATGCCTGCACCAAGGCTGTGAAGTATCTGGTTCTGTGCTCTCCTAATCCATGTGGTAAGTTATTTAGCTTTTGGTAAACGGAAGTCACAGCCGGGGTATATGCAATTCCTGGCACATGATCCAAGATCCCTGCCCTATGCCACGAGAGAGCCCAACCTTCAATACCCAACCTTCAAATGCTTGTGAGAGTCACTGCAAAGATTTGACATTTGCAGTCATCCCCCTATTTAATGTTTCCCATGGCTTCTTCAACAGAAGTCACCACTGCTGGTCTTTCAGTTCTCATTTCTGTGTTTCTATTAGAATAAAACCCCACCATTTGTCCTGTGAACCAGTCTGGTCCCACTCTGCCTAGCCCTTCGTTGTGCTGGCCTGTGTTCAAGGGACACATAGCTGAGCTTGGGGAAAACAAATCCCCTATAAAAGCCCAAACTGAGCAGCCCCCCAGCTACCCAGGCACAAGCTGGCTGGTTCTGGAAAGCAAGGTCTGTCTCCCCCCATGGCCACTACACAGACTGTGCTCTTACAGAATCTATAGCTGCGTTTAATCTAATTTAGATCCCAGCTCAGTGATCAGCCACCCAGGAAGTATCATTTCTACATTACTGGAGGGATTAGCTAGATAAACATCCGCTCTGCTCTGCTGTGCAGACTATGAGAACAACTTAGCGAGGGAGGCCCTTAATGCATACATAACTGTTTGGTTTCTGAAACCCCCATTTAAAGCTCCAGCTGCCCCTGGCTGCACAATTACCTTCTTCTTCACTGCCAGGCGGGTGAGCAGCCCTGTCTTTTCCCAGTGAGCATATATCTGCTTCTCATATTCGTAGGAGGGGAAGAAGCACACAACACCCCCTGGGACCATGTTGCACAAGTTGCAAAGGATTCGACCCGTCTCATCCATCTGCAAGAGAGACAAGAGCATATTGCAGCTGACAGGAGCTCAAGCTAATGCCACTCCAATTCTGTGCACAATTCCAGGATCAACACCTCCCCTGTGATATGCCTTAGGGATGAGAAAATGTGGGAAATATGCCAGGTCTAGGAGAGCTCTCTAAAGGAGATAGGCATCACAAAAAAAACCTCATTGCTGCTTGGCCTCTCCTCCTAGTCCAGGGTTTCTGTTAATGCTGTGGAGCAGTGGTCATTCAGGAAAGGTGGGTTTATGTCTGTTGTCCACGTGGATGGGAACTGTCACATGAGAACAGATGTGGAGAGCACATCTGGTGGAGATTCAGCAGGGGCAGAGCAGAGCCAGTGCCTGGCCTTGGGTCCTTCCTGGCCCATAAGAGAAAGAAGGTAAAACTGCAGAAAAATCTGCTGCCATCCCTATGGTTTGGGCTGCACTCTGCAGGGCTGCCACACTCCTCTGACAACGAGCCCTTTGAACTGCAGTCAGAAATCTCCTGCTGAGGCCCAGCACACAAATGCAGGATCTCAGTGCACCCAGACAGGAGCTGCTAGTACTTCTCATCTCCAATAGCTACCTCTGAGCAGGCAGCTCAAAGACTCTTTTGCTGTTACTCTTTCCCAACTAATTGGCAACACACCTGCCCCAAATGCTATGGATTTCTTTGTCATGGCTTTTGACTGACCCACCTTTCACACAGTGTCCTATGAAACAGAAGCATGTGAAGTGAAGCAGAAAAGCAATAACCAAGGAAGGGAGCAAAGCACAAAGGGAAGACTGACCATCTGAGGCATGCTTCTCGTCAGGTAGGTGAACTCCAGCTGCTGGTTGGAAGGACCACTGCAGAGGATTATAGGCAGAATGTTTTCTGGAGGAATCACATGTCCTGCAGACAAAAACTTGCAGTGAGAATCGACATCACTGCTGTTGGCACAAACCCCACTAGCTGAAGAGCTAAAGCCCTTCACAGGTAAACCTGTCTGCAATGACAAGAGGCACGCATTTGCCTGGATAAGCCAATGCACCCAAGTCACTCAGCTCTGACTTCCACTCTCCAAGCCCCTGCGAAGAAGACACAGCACACTGTGTGTGACCACTGAGGAAGCTCAGAGTGGAAGGCAACTGGCACTCCTTGGCTGCCACAACTGCAAGGAAAGATGCCATGATGCTTAGAGGGCTGACAAACCAGCAGCAAAGGCAAACAGCAGTACTCTGGTCTCACAGAGGCAGATGACCCCCACTTGCCATCCCGGCACACTCACCACAGGAGAACTCCACCACACGAGCAGGGTCCACACCAGCAGAGAACAGCAGCTGCTCTCGGAAATCGGCCACCTGTGAACCACAAGACAAAGAGAGGTAAAGTACCAGTGTCCCAAAGGGCACTACATCAGCAGCACCGCTGTCGAGGGAGGGAGGGAGGGACAGCAGCTCAGCCCTGCAGAGGGCGGCGGGCTCCCTCTGTGATGAGCACCCCAAGGGCATGGGAATGTGGCTCACACAGGCCAGGGCTGGGGGCGCGCTGGGGCATGCAGGGCACCAGCGTAAACCCCGCATGGTCCAGGGGCCGGGGCCGCTGCCCACAGGACACCGCATCTGCCCGCAGCGCGGCGCCACAGCGAGCAGCGCAGCGAGGAGCGGCGGCGCCCCCTGGCGGCACGGGCGGAGGCGCCGCTCGGTACTTCAGGACATCCATGTCCAAGAACGGGATCAAAGTAACCAAGGGGGATGTGAGACACATCCCGCCGTGCCTGCACAACACAAGCACTGCCTCCTAGGCACTGAAACAACGGGAGCGGCACAAGCTGCCTGCCACCATCCCAGAGCTGAACTCCTCATTTTTCTGAAATGGGATGGTCCCTGTGGGATCCCTGTCCCTTTAGGTCAGATGGTTTCACTACGTCCTGACTGCTCCAACCTACCATGAGCTCAGCTTCAGCCTGCATCGTCCTGAGGACAAGGCTGATAAAGGCAATGCTGCCCTTGCACCTACAGCTTTCTGCATAAACAGGCAGGGAGACTGTATCAGGGAGATAAAAGGAGATCTTTCCCCCACACACGCCATGGGAAGCTAGAAGAAGAGCACATCCCAGTGGGGCCAAGCTGTTATCTTTCCATGCCTACTTGCAGAGAGCATGAGACACCTCCTGAGACCTCAGCATAGCATCCTTATTCCCTCACCGGCTGCATGGTGCCCCCAGCAATAATGACAGCACGGCACTCTTCCACCACCTTGGCAAAGTGGACAGCGGGATTCAGCAACAGGAATTTGAGGCTGCTCTGACCAACTGTTCCTGGGAAAAGGAGAGAGCCAGCATCAGGAGCCAGCTGTGACGCATACATACTCAGATTCCCTCCTGCCCCGGGCACTCTGGCAGGTCCCCCACCTCCCAAAGGAAGGACTTGCTATTCAGCATTGCCAGAGGCAGCAGCAGGTAACGCCAGCCTGGAAGTTACCTTCTGTTCCCCAGTGTCCCTGGAGATGCAGAAGGGGCACAGTAAATGGCAAGATAAAAAAAAGACAACTAAAGTGGGAACACAGCTCTGCAAACCCTGGCCTCAATACCCTTCGTTAAGAATCCCTTTGGGTTCATGAGCATCCTCAGACAGACCAAGCCTGTATCACTGCCAGTGAAGCACCCTTCTTGCGACTCATGCCCCTCTCCCCAGCTCACCCTCTGCAGTACCTTGCCTGTTGATAATGATTCTGCCATCTTGGTTTGCATTGGTGAGGGCTGAGAGGAATCCTTCAATCTGCATCAGTGGAGAGGCAGTTCGGACCTGGTCATGCTCAGCCTCCATGACAGGGGGCTGGGGAGTACCTGCTGACCCAAAGACAGAAGGAGGGGCAGGCAACTTAGGCCACACTTCTGAAGACAGGGATGAAGTACGAAATACAGATGGGTCCCTTCTACAGGAACATGGTACCTGGTCTTCATATGCAGGCAGAGAACAAAGACCCAATAAAGGAGAGAACCCAAATTCCATCTCATTGCTAGGGGAGGGAATAAATAAATAAATCAATCTGTTTTTTTGTAGCTGGCACCACTAAACAGAGCTACCAACAGCAGCTCAGGTCCCAGAGCAGGCATGTCACAGCAGTGCAAATCTTGAGTGCATGCAGTGTAAACACAGACCTACATCATCATTCAGCTTGGGATTAAGAAATCTTTTAATCATACATCTAGTTGCCTAGGTCATCTAGTCAGGTATGTTAAAAACATCTGTGCACAACAGCTTCTGCAGTCTCTCATTCTTCAAATCTCCCTCGCCCCTTTCCTCACACGGATAGATGGAGGCTCCACAGCCTCCCTTTGCCTGCAGATGCATGAATGCAGGAAGCCTGAACTCACCCTCTGTATCAGCTCCCTGCTGGAGGGTCAGAATAAAGTTCTGCAAACCACTCAACTTCTGGTTCTCCTTGTTGGACTTCACAGCTGAGGCAGGGCTTCCATATCGCTCCACAAACCCAAAGAGCTGCCAAGCAGAAGCCAGAAACACTAAGTCTACCAACAGCAGGAACCAGACAAGATAAGCCCAGGTTTGCTCACCTGCCACAGATAAAGCTCCTTGGCAGGTGTTTGCATACCAACCCAATCAGAATCTACCAGCGCAGCCCAAAGCTTCCATTACTTTCCTCCATCCACTGAATCAAAACCAAAACAAGTCTCTGATGTTTGTTCCTCCAGTGAAATGCAGCTGACCAGGCTTGGCAGGTTTGAGGCCAAGCAGCAGAGCATCAGCACTGGCTGGAATATACCACCTTGTCTGTTCCTTTGCTATGTAAGTAAAAGGTAATCTGCCCATACAGTGCTTTCTGCAGGAGCCACTTTGTTTGCAGAGCAGGGTGGAGAAGACAGGCTCCCACCCCAGCTGCTGTACTTCAAACTCAATGTGTGAAACAGCATTTGAACACAGATGACCCCAAATCCTCAGGGGCAGTACCTTCCTACTGATGAGGCTCTTCTCACAGTAACGCTGAACCTGTTGGAGGAAGACAGAAAAATGAAGTGGCATTCAGCTTCCCTTCTCCCATCTTGCTGCCCTTGGTCCCTGAACATCAGAGGTATCTACCTGCTGCTCTTGCTGTGCTCCTGGGGAGTGGTGCACGGTTTGTTGTTTTCTCCCAGACAACAGTTTAGCACAAAGGCATTGCTTCCAAACTGGAAGCACAGGGGGTTAAGGTGCTGCGCTTGGAGGTTTGAGGGATGGGCTAAGTTATTGGAGTAGTACAGTTTCTGCATCCTCAAACCTTAGAGTTTAGTTTTGCCTACAGACACCCTCTCCACGTGTACATGTTTCGTTCTTTCCTTCCTTCTGCCCCAAGACCACTTGTCTAGCTTCAGTGCAGTTATGCAGATAGCAGCAGCAGAGATCCACACACTGGGGAGGTAGGAGAGTCTGCTAGAAAGCAGGTTCTGCCATGTGGGCCTTGGCTGTACTTCCACCTCTCACACACACTTCCTGATAACCTTGAGCAAAGTCATTGCCACCTCTGCCCTAGCAGGTGACAGCATTTGCATTACCTTGAAGAGGTTGATATTGTCAATGTGGCTCTGAAACAGAAAGTGATTGATGGATTTTAGCACTGTCCCTGAAAGAAAGGAGGAGAAAAAAGGAGAACAAAATTATTAGCTCCTGGGTCAGCAGCCCTGACATCAGTCCCTCATGGACATGCCCCATCAGGGCAGTGTCCCTCCTGATGGCTGCATACCCCAGATGTTCACTCCAGCCTTACCTGTTTGGGAAACAGCCTGGCAGCTAGGATTTTGGTTCACATTACCTGTAAAACATGAAACCAATTCAAGGAAGGCTTAACAGGCCTGTCTTTAAAATGAAGCAAGAGACTAGCAGCTGAGCTGAAAGGGACACCACACCACGACAAAACCTAAGAAATAACTATAAATCTGCAAAATGTAGCTACATAGACCAAACATCAGCTCCTGCTCAGTTTTAATTTCCTCTGCAGGGTAGCCCTACACTGGGGGGCAAGTGTTCTGCTGCATCCTAAGGAACACCACCTACATTCCTTATGTAGCAGGAGGCAGCAGGTAGGGTGGGCGCATACAAATGCTCACATACCATGTAGTCATCATGCTGCAAAGATGAAGGGACAGGGACTGCAGTGCATCCTTCACCCCTCCTCAATGCAGCAGTGGGGAGCTGGGAGGCTCATAATCTATCAGGCGACTGGGAAGAGGGCAAAACCTGAGGAGAGCTCCACGCCCAGACCCAGAGAGCCAGAACAGGATTAACTGCTGCCAATCACTGTGTTTTGTGTCCTTGTGTTTAACACCCACCTCACATTTCACTCTTGCAGCCTCAACCATGAAGCTGTACACAGGCTGCATTTTCTAATGAAAGCACTTAACTGAGTGTGGGTAAGAAAAGAGTGGTAGGAACAGAGCAGGAAGAGAAGTATAGGTTTGACAGAAAAGCAGAGAGAGAGCACCACCAGGCCCCTGCACCAGAGCTGCATTTCCCCTGGGCAAGGAGAAAGTTCTTTATGAACTTATAACAGGTTCTCTCTCCTCAAGACACACGCAGGTCCAATAAACAGATCATGACAGGAAAGGAGCCCTGCAAATTACAGTGGATTTAAAATCACAGCAAAGTATTTTCTCTCAAAAGAAAGACACCACTCAGCAAAGATTCATTCTGCAGAGGTGCACCTGACACAGGTAGAGGCCTTGGTACCAGACAAGCCAGATTTATTCTGTGCAGGTCTTGCACTGTCCTGATCACTGTCACACATCTGCTGCATTCCTCACTTAGTTATCCACCTCATCCCCACCCAAATCAGACCTGAAAACCACACAAAAAGAGAAGGAAACTGCCTCTACCAACTTAGGATGTCATCTGCTGCTCCCCAGCTAATCAAGTGAGAGGGGATGAGGCAGACACCAGTCAGCATCCCCATATTATAAAACAGCCTGAGAAATACAATTACTGACATCTGAACTTACACATGAGCAACATTTCCCCACAGTCTCTGAAGAGGGATAGACAGTGCCCTGAGGAAGCACCAACTAGCTCAGAGCCTGTCAGCATCCCTGGAGACAGAACAGGTCTGCTTACCTCCCAGCATGGTCACAAACCGCTCCAGCAAATACAGGATCTGTTTAATGTACATCAAGTTCTTTGCCTTCAAACGTTTCCTATGAAAAAGGAGACATATATAAGGCCCAAAAACATCTCCAGGGACTAACTCAATTAACTGAGCTGCAGAAACAAGCACCTGAACCCCTCTTCATTTTGAGGAGACAGGAACCAAGAATGATTTCTCCCAGGCTCACTCCCCCTGTTTGTGACATGGCAACAGACCTCTGGATATCCTGCCTGAGGTCAGCTCAAAGGACTCACCCATGCACCCCACACTGTTCCTACCATTGCCTTTCTCCTCACACATTAATCATAATTTATTGCAATGGCAGTGATACCTCAAGGCCTTGTTGCAGTAATGCTCCACAAATTCCAGGATATTAGCATTGAGCACATTAATCAGCCACTGCAGGGATGACGAGGTGCAGAGCAAAAAGCCACATATAGCTTCCTCCTCCTTCCCAGAGCTTACTGCCTCTGTCGTAACACCAGTCAGCACATGAAAGACTAAGGTCCAGGAGAGACATAAAAAGACTGAATCTTTTGAAAAGCTGATTCACAAAGCAGGAGCGATTAGAGAGACATCTTGGGAAAGGAACTAAGAGCATAAGGGAAAAGCAGAATCCTCACAGTGTCCCCCTTCTCACTGCTTAATACCATCCCCAGGAGTCACACTTAGGTGGATTCTAAACAAAGATAATAAGGCAAGTGGCTTTTCATCTGCAAAAGTATTAATGCAAATTACTTTCCACCAGGGAAAAGCAAGAAAGACCTTGTAAACATGACAGAAACCACAGCATCCACACTGCCTGCCTCTGTTGTGCTACTTTCCTCCAAGATCCTCACCTGTATCGCTCCATGTACTGCAGCAGCTGGGAGTGGGCACAGCACAGCTACAAGAACACAAAAAGGAGCTGTTATTAAGGAGTCAAGAAAGGGCACTCTGCTGGAGCTCACATTAACCACGCCAGTCTACAACTCACCTGAGAGCCACTGACCTCGGCACTATGGATACAGGTGATGGTGTCTATGAGGTTGTGGGCCTCGTCAATAATTACGACCTGGTCCTTCAGCTTGATCCCAGCAGCATTCCTGGTAGGCTCATGCAAGAGCATCTGATAGGGCAGCACCACCAGCTACAGGACAAGCACAAACTGCCCTGATTCTGGTCCTCACCCTTACAACCTTAGGGCACTCTCCAACCACTGACTGAAGGCCTGTATTAGATGACCTCACAGAATTCAGTCAAGTTACTTTTATTATGGGAAAGGGAGGAGGAGAGACAGGAACACATAATTAAGGTGGGCACTGGGATATAAGCTGAAGAGAAATGATGATGCTACAACTGCCTATCAGCTCAGATTACATTTTGAATCTCCTTTGAAGCACTGAAAGCGTATCTTCTGTTAGAGAACCACGCCAGGAAGAAGAGTGGTGGCAAGAGCTAAGATTACATCTATGTATCAGTATTGCCTCAACAGTTACTGAGCCTTTCAAGTATTTCAGAATGCTGAGACATACTCACAGCCTATTCATTTCAAATGGATCTTCTCATTTTTCTTTGCTTCCTCAGCGTAACTACAGCTGACAGAAACCCAGGCTGTTTACAAATTCTCACAATATTTACAGTACTGGAGAGAGCAGGCAATTAGTTCATTCTTAGATCCCCTAGCATGAATTCTGCTAACACTGTGTACATCTTACCTGCGCAGCAGAAATGGCGTATCGACTCCCATAATATGGGCAGGCTTTGGTCTCCCTTCCCAAAGCCACCAACTGCTCAATATCCTTCACTTCCACTAGAAGTTCATCACGGAGAAACTGCATTTGCTCATAGGAATAAAATGGGCATATGGTGCGACTCACACGTCTCTTCTTCTCTCCATTCTCTTCATCACTCTTTTTTTCTAACAGCAGAAATCAAAAGAATGCTATCAGCAACACACACAAAAATGCAAATAACCACTTTGTAGAATCTTCTGCATTTCAAAGCAGGCTTTGTCATGTACACTTCTGACTTATCATCTATTCAAAACTTATTCAGCATCTCCACAGTGGACACTACTCTTGCCAGTTTGATTTAGCCATGTGATGCTTTCCCATGTTTCTAGTGCTGAGTTACAAAGACAATTATCCTCCTGTTGCATAAGTCCTGACCAACTTAAGACATGCAGAAAATCCATGCAGATTTCAGCATCCTAGCCTGGAAGTCAAGAAAAGTGCTGAGGATCTCCAGCTCTGTTCCTCCAACCTGCCGTTCCCAAGCTCCTACCACCCTCTTGCTAGAAATGAGTGGCAGTGCCCACTGCCTCCGGACTCTCACACCAGCTTTGTCAGCGATTGCTTTCCCAGGCTGGAAGTGTTCCTACCATGTTTGTTCTTCTGCATCAACATGCAGCGGTCATTGATGAGCTGGAGAGCCCCCAAGCGTCGCACGTCCTCATTCACACACAGGCTCTTGGACATGCAAAGAGAGGAAGGGATAGGGGGTCAGTTAAGAACTGAGTGCCCCATGTGCACCCTTTGCTGTAAAATAGAAGATTTCTTTAAAGCAATCTCAGCCCAGAAACAAAACTGGGTAAGACTACTGGTCAGACATTGGGCACACTAACTGCTACAGTTTTTTTTCTTGAAACCCAGAAAAAACTTAGCAGGGAGTTTAACAAATGAGAAAAGGTGCACTGAGATGGCTCACTGCTACACAACAGTGCCTAAAAAATGCTGTCAGAACTAAGAGGAGCACCTTCCCAGTGACTCAGACATCTGTTACATTGCACATCTGAAAAGGTAAGAGATTTTTGCATTTACATCAATGGGTAAATGGCCAAAACACAGTTCACACAAAAATATTCATCACACACGTATCTGTGTCATGACCAACAAATGCTTTAGTGTTTCAACAGGAGATTCAGTCAACCCCCAAGGTATCTTCTGTGGTGTCACATTCACACACCCCCTCGTTGCAAGGTCTCTCACATTAAGTTAACACACACTCTGGGTCCCTTGTGAACAACAGCACATACCTGCCTGGATCCCAAGGAGACCAGACGTGTGTCTTTACTGAAAGGACTTTTCTGCACCTCATGCACAAACTGAGACAGCTGGGAGTGAGTGCGGCTGCAGTAGTAGATCTACAATGAGGAAGAACAAAGGGAAGACAAGAAGAACATGGAAGCCAATCTCCCACCCACAACCAATCCTGCAAGGAAGCAGCCAAGCACTTCTACAAAGTTAATGGTGCTCAAGCCTTCAAGGAAAGGCACATGTTTGAGTATCACCTTGCAACTGTTAAGGCAAACACACTTATCTCCTTTTCTCCTATGCATTTGCCTTTGTTTCCATTTAATTTTCCAAGACCCCTATAAAACCAGGAACTTACTGTTGAAGAGTCATAAAAAACTGTGTCTTCCTGTGTGCTTTTACAGCAAGCCACAGTAAAAATTCAGCAATGCTAGCAGGGCAAGCTGCTTAGACAGCCAGTGTTGCCAAGAAGATGAGTATAGCAGAACTGGCTGCTACTATCAACAAACTTGTCAGGTCTTGAATGCTAGTTCCTCAGTCCTTCTGTACTGCACGACTCTGGGATGGGTACAAGGAAACCATCATTCTGCTCACTCAAACACTGTTCTACAAGGCAACACTATTTCCTTTCCTCATCTCACCTTAGTCACATGCTCCTCTTCCAAATCATCATCATCTTCTTCTAGCCTAAGAAAAGAGAAAACTCAAACAGTTTCCTTTCAGCAGATCACTGGCACTTAGAATCAAATGATGCTCTACTTCAAGAGAGAGGTCTCAAGAGAGATGGTTCTGTCATCTCAAGAGAAACCTCAGATCTTAACTCAGGAGGTAAGAGAAAAATCAACTTTTTAACAACAGTGTAAGCGTGCACAATCAAGTCAAGCCTTGCTCTTAAAAAACCCACGTCTTTAGGGTTGTGTCTTTAGCAACTTCAAGATTAATTTTTCCTTCTTTTAAATCCAAGACTTCTAAGCCCTGGGCGCAAGCTAATCAGTGCTGTACTATTCTTTGGTGAGCTTATTTATTTTTGTAAAACTTTCCCTTTAGAGACAATTTACCACCCTCAAGCTATTGCATAAAGAAAAGCTTCAGGAAGATACTTAGCAGCTATAGAGTTCCTCCAAGGCAACAGCAGCTTAATGTTTGATAAACTACATATAAATGAAGTAGTGGTTTGGAACTTTTAAGGCAGAAGGATCCATCTAGATACTAATTAGTAAATGTGTATGTTAAATATATTTGACTTTCCATGCTGAAGCATGGCTTCTGGCCTTCTGGATAAAGCTTAATGTATGAGAGAGAAAAGCGCACATGGGGTTTTCACGCTGAAGCTCAGTCTTTAGAAATGTGAACATCTCTCCCTTTAGAGTACCAAAAGGTGCCAATACTAATCTGCAGGACTGACAGCCTCCTGGAGCCCTGAGTTCTATCTTGCTTTTCAAATGCAAGGAACCTGATCTCAAGCCATTCATTCCACATCAAGGGGCATTCTTTGGGAAACTGGACATGGTCAAAGGCAGGACATTGCCACACATTTTAACAAAAGTGCACTTTCTCAGAAATCACTTCAGGTCACTCTGACCAGTCTTAACAAAAGCTTAAAAAAAAACAAAACAAAATTCCCCCCACAATACCAAACCAACCAATTAAACAAAGAACCCACCAGAACAACCACAGCTTGAACTGGGGATGAACTCCAGATGTGCATGATCACAGGTGAGATCTCTTAAATCAAGGCAAGCCAAAGGAACCCATTTAGTCCCTGCCCTTACCCAGATACCACTTTCTTTTCTTCATCACTCTCATATTCAGCAAGAATCAGCTCCTCCTCATTGTGATCCAGCTGCTCTAGAGCATCTCCAGCTCCCTCTGAAAGAACCTCCTTGCTGAGCTGAAGAAGGCGCTTTGTCTCATCCTCCTCAGATCTCTGAAAGGAACACATGATCACATTACTGCTCATGCAGAAAGAAAGCTAACACACTCCATGCTTTATGCCATGGACGGGTCAGAAGACAGCAGAGTCCCTTGCAAGTAACACAGGGAATGGCTTGCTGGGGAACCCCCAGCAGGACAAACAAACGCACCAAGGGTGTCTGAAGCTGTTCAGCACCACAAAACACAGCTGCCACCAGCAAAGACTTGACCACATAGACATATATGAAGGCGAAACATAAAGAACTTCCTATGCAAAAGGCCCACTGAACTACTAGGTTCTCAAATTACAATATCCATGTAATCCAGTGTTAGTTGCTTAAAGTGGTCCATAAAAGACAACTGCTTGAGAAAAAAATGGTGTGCAAATAAACCCAACCAAACATATAAGGACATAATCAAATCCTCTGTCCACACTCAATTCAAAGCGACGATAAATTCAGCACTTTAGAATGCAGGGCACAAGGCTTCTCTTGCCATTTTTTCTCCAGTTATGTGGTTCCTACCCTAATGCAGTCTAGTGCTCTACAAAAATTCCATTACACTGTTGGAGACTAGTTTTCTGATCAACTTCGTGTCCTGATAAAGGAGAGCTCATTTTTTAAATCTGAAAACAGTATCTTCCAATGTCAATAAGCATTTTTTACCATAGCATTATGAAGCAATGCTGTTAGTGAGTACTACAGAGAAGATGAATCAGTTGCTTTTCCTAATCTCTATAATATTCTTTCATTTGCTTTCTTGTTTTTTATCATGCTCCTCATTTCATATGCTTTTCATCCTCTTTCAGAGATGAAAGTTCTTTGTTCCACTGGTTTTTTATTTGCTGTTCACCTCTGAACCCTTGCTATTCCTGCCATATGCTTTTGACAGGAGTTGACCAAAACATAACAGAGCACTTGAGATGGAGCACATGAGAAACTAATAACCTGACAGCCTAATAAATCTGCCTCTTAAGGGGCCTGATGTGGGTATTTCTGGGAAGTTTGACTCATACCACCAAAAAGCTCTTAGAGTCAAGAGTCCTGAGGCCAGTTCACGCATCTAAATGGCAGGAAAATGTATCCGTGAACTTTTTATATGCAGAAAAGAGACATGCCTGGAAAGTACAATCGCATTTGCTTTGAAAGTAAGCAAATGCAATTGTTCCCTAGTGGTGAGGAAAGTACAACCGAAGCCTGACATAGCTTTTTCTTTTGTGGGGTGAGTGTCTTCTGTTCCCATGTTCTTAAATCTAATCACAGTTCTACAGGTCTTATTCCAGCAGTACATATTGTTCATACACGCTCACAAAATAAAGAGCTTTCAAAATAAAGAAAAATCCAAGTATTAAAGCTTTTAAAACAAATGTAGAGGGCCAGAAGGCCATCAGAACACACTCCCTTTGTATCCACACACAAACATCATCACAGGAAATTCTCTATGCAAAGACGGTTTTCCATGTCTGTACTTCAAACAGAGTATCTCACCAAACCTTTTGGATGGCCAATTTCAGGAACCTAACACAAAAACCTCCCCAAATCCCAAACAGACAAACAGGGTTGGAAAATCCCATGTGAAGCCACAGATATAAGCAAGTACGAAGTACACTGGAGGTTCCAAACCAGGAAGTTCTGACCCCCTCAGGATAACTCGCCTTCCTCTTTGCTGCATATTTTAACTGCACATTATTGCGAATTTTCTCAAGACGATCTTCTCGCTTTTTCCTCCTGATCTGCTCTTCCTATAATAAAAGGAGAGCAAAGGAAGGATGAAGTGCATTTAGTCCCAAACCCTGCATGCAACTTTCCTATTTCCTATTTTTTTCCTAGAAAAAAAATAATTCCGAACCCAACTGTCAGTACACAGTCCCTTTCTCCAGGAGTGCATGCCTATTATATGTTACCATGTTAATATAGTTAGAGTAATATAGTTTCCTGTCTTATGCAACCTGCGTGGCGATGTCTCACCTCTCATAACCAAAACAAAGCCCTGTGAAAGACAAAGGCCACCACCAAAGTTTGCCTCATGTGTTTCCATGATATCAACCGTTTTGATCCTCACACCTTGTGATTTTACATGTCCTCTACAGATGAGCATTTAATAAAATCAGAATGGTTCCTTTTGGAAGGGACCTTAAAGCTCCTCCAATTCCAATCCCCTGCCATGCACAGGGACACCTTCCACTAGACCGGGTTGCTCAAAGCCCTGTCCAACCTGGCCTTGAACACTGCCAGGGATGGGGCAGGCACAGCTTCCCTGGGCAACCTGTGCCAGCGTCTCACCACCCTCATAGTGAAGAATTTATTCCTAACGTCTAACCTAAATCTACCCTCTGCCAGACAGAGCCATTCCCCCTCGTCCCATCACTGCATTTCTCAACCTTCAGCTTGTCCACCAAGTCCCGCTCTTCTTTCTTCTGCACAAATGCCGTAACCCAGTCCGGCTCCCCAGCGGTGCCCTGGCTCTCTGGGCGTGCTGGCCCAGCCGAGGCCGGACACCCCTTTCCCTCCTGCCCGCTCTCCTCGGGTGCCAGCAGCCGCGCCTCCTCCTCTCGCTTCTTCTGCTCGAAGTCTCGGAGCCAGGTGAGGGCCCCGCAGATCAGGCTCAGCGATTTCCCCTGCCACAGGACAACGCACAGGGTGAGTGAGGTTCTGCCCCTCCTCACCGGGATCACACACAGACCTGCCCCCTTCACCCTCCCCACCCCGAGGGGCCTCTGCCCTCCTCCCGGTGAGGCTCACCGTGCCCGTGGGGCTCTCAAAGATCCCGACCCGGCCAGCCTCCAGCGCGCCGTACAGCGCCGCCATGAACTGCTCCTGGATGGCGTACGGCGTGTAGGGGAACGGGAACCGGGGCCCGCCGGGCCCCGCCGCGGCCGCCTCCCCGCTCTCCATCCCGCCGCGCCGCTTCGAACCGAACGCCCGAGACGCACCGCCCCCTTCCCGTGACGCCGCGGTGACTGCGGGCGCGGGGCGGAAGGACCGCCCTTCCCCCGGGGGTAAAGCTCGGTTCTTCTCCGGTAGAGCGGGGCGGTGGGATGTGGCCTGGAGGAGGGGGCTCCCGGGAGGGGTGGAGGGCCCGTCGGCCTTTCGCCGGGCCGTGGCTCCTGCTCCGTGACGCTGGGTCATTCTGCCGTTACTAAGGCCTGGTTCCTGTCCGTCGTCAGTCCTGCCCTGCCGCTGCCGTCCTGCTGTTGGGCTTCGGCCAGCGGAGCGACGGACCCGCCGGAGGGAAGCCAAGCCTGAGCCCCTGGCCGGCTTGGTGAGGGTGCCCGTCTGGAGCCCCTCGCCACACCAGAATCGGCGTGGGGCCTATCTCTGTTCGTAATCTCACACCCGTTGTACGCAAGGACAGAAAACTGGTTTATACAGAGGGAAAAAAGGTTTTATTTAGGGTAGAAACATGTAGCTAGTAATAAAACATACCAATATAGAGGAAGTTCATGTAATATACAGCCGTTAACATAGCAACAAATGCAAATACAGTAATTCCTAACTCATAATGCTGAACTTTATATGTTAATACTTCACCAACAATAGTGAGCTAAAGAGTATCATAGAAAAGACTACAAAACTGCCAACAGCCTCTTGACTACCAGTAAGAACTCATCGTGTACCAGTTCACACTAGGGTATCAGGGGGGAGGATATTTCTTTTGGTTAAATAAAGTAAGGCCACAATTTTGCCCATGTTTTGTTGACAATGCAAGTTGGAAGGTGCTCCAGACCACCAAGGGCAAATTTAGGAGAAACTGCCAGAGACTAGTGAAGGGCAGCATTCCAACTAGCAGTGCTTGCACATTCCTGTTTTCTGGGAAAGCCATGACAGTTTTGTGTTGCTCAGCTATCGTGTCACTCAGGCTTTGTCATAAGAGGTAGGAATTCACTGTCCTGTCTAAGATTTGGAAAAGAGTTAGAAAAGACAAACAGACTGAAGTTCAGCTCCAAAGTCTCAGACTCAAAAGATTTGGAAATGCCTTGTCAAACACTGGGTTAACTTACTACATTCATGAAAAGTAACAGACGGTAATAAAAAGAGTTCCTAAGACTACCACAGTGTCTAACAAGCTAAAGTTTTGAGTCAAAACCAGCCTGGAACTTTGCATTTTGATCTTCACCTTAGTTGTAAAGTTATTTTACAAGCCTGATTCTCCCAGTTATTATTCTACCACATATTCACAGCTCCCAATTTACCCAGAAGTTGGTGCCCATTCCTTAGGCTCTCTGCACTCTTCCTAAACCACCAGCACTTGACTCTTATGACTGACTCCCTGCTTCCAGACCTCCTAATGGTTTTTGTCCCACTGGGGTATGCATGTCTCCAGTCAGTCTCTTCCCAACGTGGTTCTCATCACCCACCTTTTTCAGGTATCCTCAATCACTGCTTTTGTTTCCCGTTCTGAACATCCACTGCAGCCCTATGGCAGAAGTGAGCTGGAAGTGAGCATTCTCCTACCCAGCATACATTTATAATGTTTCTTGGCTGCATGGATCTTCAAATGCACTTTAAGAGTTGAGCTTTTCCGGAAGCTTTTCCCACACTCGCCACACTTGTAGGGCTTGGCTCCTGCATGGATCCTCAGGTGGGCACCGAGGGCTGAGCTGTGCCTGAACGCTTTTCCACATTCCTCACACTTGTATGGTCTCTCCCCGCGATGGATCCTCAGGTGCACGTTGAGAGCCGAGCTCCGTCGGAAGCTGTCCCCGCACTCCACACAGATGTAGGGCCGCTCCTCAGCATGCGTGCTCTGGTGCTTGGTCAGGGTGGAGCGGTCGCTGCACCTCCGGCCACACTCAGCGCACTGGTAGGGGTTGGGCAGGAGGCTACCATGGTATATGGGCAAGGCTGCCCCACCGTGGATCCGGCGATGAGTGGTGAGCGCTGAGCTCTGGCTAAAGCCCTTCCCACACACTGGGCACTTGTAGGGCTTTTCACCTGTGTGTGTTCGCATGTGGGTCACCAGTGAGGAGCTCTGCCGGAAGGCTTTTCTACACTCGGTGCACTCATATGGTTTTTCTCCTGTGTGGATCCTCTGATGCCGAATGATGGCCGAGCTGTCCCGGAAACGCTTCCCACATTCCTGGCACTTGTGAGGCTTCTCTCCAGTGTGGACTCTCCGGTGTATGATCAGGGAGGAGCGATCGCTGAAGCTTTTCTCACACCGTGGGCAATTAAAGGGTTTCTCACCCTTGTGGCTCCGCTGGTGGACAATGAGGTGTGAGTTCTGGCTGAAGCTCTTCCCACATTCGTTGCACTGGTAGTGTCTCTCTCCTGTGTGGGTCCGCTGGTGCCTGATCACATTGGACCTCTGGCTGAAGGTCTTCTCACACTCACTGCACTGGTAGGGCTTCTCGCCAGTGTGGATCCGCTGGTGTTTGATCAGGTCTGAGTTGCGGGTGAAACTCTTCCCACATTCGGAGCAGCTGAAGGGTTTCTCTGCTAGGTGGATCCTCTGATGCTGGCTCAGGTACGAGCTCCGGCTGAAGCTCTTCCCGCACTCAGGACACTCGTAGGTTTTCTCTCCCATCTGCTGAATCCAAATGGCACCCTTCCCACAAATGGTTGGGTCTGGCTTGTCACCAGCAAGGATAGCCTTGCTCATGTGGGCTCTATCACTGTTGTCGCACTCCCAGACTTCCGTCCCACAGGGAGTTACCATTCTCTGCCTCTCTCCATAAGATGTCTCCACCTCACTTTTTATCTCCAGCTCCTGCTTGCAGTCATGTCTTTGGTCAGCATCCTGGAGGGTATCTCCTTTGAGCATTCTGGAGGGGAACAGATGCAGTCCAGGTCTCACAGGACTTCCCTGATGAATCCTGCCCTTCTGTGTGTCACCCATGGTCCTGGCACCTGCTGGAGTGAACAGAGGAACTAGCAATGAATAACCCCCCTGCTTCTCTGAGGGAGAAGTCCAAACAAGGCAACTGCAGCACATCAGCTACCATTAGCTAACAGCAAAGGAGCCAGCCCCTCAGTATCTGCTCCAGGCAGAGAGAGGGCACGGAGACTGAGTATGGGAGGGGAATATGACCCAAGGACAGGTAGCCGCTGTTGTACAGGTTGCAAAAAGGGTCCTCTGTCAAAAGGTTACAGCCATAAAAGACAAAACCTGTCACATGCTTGTCCTCACAGTTCCCATGTCTAGCAAGGTTAGAGGAACGTCATCGCTGCTCTCCTCAACAACACCTACTGTAGCTGCTTCTCTTCCTGTTGCCTATGAATCACTGCTTTCCTTCCAGCATTCCCATGCTTAATCAGGGAGGGAAGCAGCCAACACCACAGGAGCATCCACCCCTGCCAAGTAGACTATTTTCTTTCTTCTTTCCAGTCATAGCCCTTTTCCTTAAAAAGAAAGCGCTATATATTCTGCAGAAAATTACATGTAGATTCTGTCTACAGAACAGATAGGGAAGTGGAAAGATAAACTGTTTTATTAATCAAGCACGGAAATGAACCATTAGACTGAAACATTCAGAGCTTTCTGATTTTTTATTAGTTATCAGGAGAACACACCTCAGAAATGGATGCTGGAGCGTGAGGTAAGCCGATTAGCTGGATGGAACTGCTTACAGAGTTAACATCATCCTCTTACGTGTGGAAGGTCAGAATATGAGGTGAATGCAGCAGGACAAACCCCTCAGGTTTGGTTTCAGGTAATCTGCAGATACTGGAAGACACCACTGCACTGGTTATAGTGATTCCCAAAGTTTTGTTTACAACACTCAGGGCTGAAAAACATTTGCAGTACAAATAAAGATACAGCACTGGCCCGAGGCATGCACCTCGAGGCAGAAAACCAGTACAACATCAGAAACATTGTCAGTGTGAAAGGAAGAAAAAGCCACGCTTTGGTTAGCTGTGCTTTCTGAGTATAGTTTTTGCTGAAAATACACAGGATTTAATTCCATTTGGATAGGGTCTTTTTGAAAGGATATTAGATACCCCAAGAGTGTGTTTCATCTTTATCATACCTTGCCTACAAATCCTCCTGAAAGCAGAATCTTTACAGTACAGGAGCAGCAGAGGCAGGATGAGTGTGTAGTATGCAGCACAGCACACACCAAATTTTCAGCACTCAGCTCTTCTCTCCCCTTCCCAGACATGCTCTGTTCAGTTTCTCACCTGGGAAGCAAACTTTCTGCTCTCTTGGTGTTCCACTGCTTCTGGCCACAAAGCTGTTTCTCATCACACCATCCAGGATGTTTAAACCATCAGTGACTGCAGATCCTGATCAGAGGAAAGAAAACAGATGTAATAAATACCCATTGTAGTAGCAGTGCTGTAGAGTGAGATTACAGGAGAGTAAGTATTGGAGACAAAAGCAACCTAGACCAGAGGAAAATGACACCCAGAAACATGCGTCAGGGTCACTGTCTGTCCTGCCATGCACACCATGACACTGCTGTTTGGGTCCAATAACCAGGGGCAGCTCATGTTGCGAAGCCAGGGTCAACTACACATGCTGCAGAGAGCTGCCTGACAGCTTGCTGCCTTCTCACAAGTGTCACACTGTTCCTCCTGCTGCACTTTAAGACCAAAAATGCATCCCACTTAGTTTGATGTAAGAAAAACATCAATTCCTCAAACCACTTTCCCTCCATCTCCTTTCTTCCTAGTGAACTAAGAAAACACATAATGTGTTTAATGCAGTTCAGCAGTTCTGGTAGAGGGAAAATGCCACATTCCCTTCACAACTGGGCTGCTCTCTGTGTCTGTCTGGATGCAGACAGTCTATTGCTTTTACCCAAGGAGTATTTTGCCTGGTCGCTCTCAGTGGCTCAGCCAGGCACGCATAGGTCTGGGTGAGAGAAGATACTTTGATCTGCTCACGTTACCGACAGGAGCAGTTCAAAGACAGGATGTCCTGCCCTGTGCTCCAGAAAAATGGCAACTTGGCTGTCTTGTTCCAGATGGAGTTTACAGGGCTGGCAGCGAGCAGGAAAGCAGTCACACACACCTGTTAATGCATGAACACCAAGATAATTTAGTCTGGCCAGTTCTGACAGCCAACACACAATCCCACTTCTCAAGGATCTCTGTTCAGAGCAGAAGTGTGCTGCGCGGGAGTGGGGTTTGTGGGATAGAAAATTAGGTCACTCATTTAGCTTCAGCACTGTATTTGTGCAGTGGCATTTGTTTAGAGGCATTTGAAGATGATGAGGGCTCAGTGATATCCTAGAACTGTACAGGTTAAAGAAAGAAAATGCTAAAACCTGCACATGGGAATGCCAGCTCTACAATGGAGTTTCACCTTTCTGGTCACGTGGATGCCCACCGTGCCACTAGAAGTAAGTAAAATTACTGATGACCAGGTGTTCATCAGTAGAAATGAAAAAGAAATGTGAACCAGCATATTTTGCTTTCAAAATGAGAAAAACTGAACTGGATACTCAGTGGTGTACCAGAGGAGGGTACCACAACAGACATCAGCTGCCAGACCCTCCCAAGGACAGATGGAAGATTTCCCCACCTGTATAAAGCCATCACGATAAAAGAAGGTCCCCAGTCACATGGAGAGCTGACATTCTGTTGGCTCTGCCTCAGCTTGGAGTCACATCGTTCCTGCTCCCTGCTGCCTACTCCACAGTGGATTCAGTGGGTATCCCCCCATGGGGAGAGTTTCCAATCCTTCCAGCAGCAGGCAGTGGCTGCAGGCTTTAATCCCAGGTAAAAGGCAGGAAAGCCGAGGTTTCCCTCTCTGTACAACCCCCATCCACCTATGAGGCAGTGCCGCTGTGACCCTGCTAAACCATCCTCCTAATTTTAGGAGGAGAGAAATGTCCTTCTGGTTCAGTCTCTGCTGTTGTTCAAGGTGAGCATATAGTCAAAACAGGCACCCTAAAATGATGGGTGAGCACCTACAGAAAGCAGACATGGATGTAGGAGACAGCTGATGTGCAGAGCCAGGCAGGTTGTGGGATATGGCAGAAAAGCACATTGTGCAATGGGTGGTAAAGATCTGTCCCTGAACAATATGGGAAACCTTAAGGGCCACCAAGCACCAGACAGGCATGAGGTGCCAGTCTCCAGAACCACCATGTCTGGATAAAGCCAAGTCCCCAGATAGTGTCCTGACTGATAACCCAGTCTTACGAGGCTGAATGAGGAACAAGAACCTGTAGCATGGGGAGGCAATGGGCCACACCCAGGTCCTGTGATGACAGAGACAGAGGCCCCACAAAAGACATAGCTGGCCAGGGATGGGAGAGCCACCACTAAGACCACAAGCCTGGGAGGCAGGAGGGGCAGGGAGAACAGAAAGCTGCAGTGTACATCAACCTGAGAAAATCAAACATACTCTGTGAGGGCTCTCCTCTGAGTTTGGACCTGGTGTCACAGCAAGGAGGGCAGACCCCGCTATGGCAGGAAGTGGCCTGGGTCCGAACTCAGCCTCATTCAGCAGGCTTAGTCCTCTGCTGCCTTCCCCAGCACAAAACCCAGTGCCAGGTAGGGCACAGACCCAGCGGCAGGGCAGAAGGGGAGGCGGAGGGGAGCATGGGCAGGAGGAACAGTTGGAACTGAGGTGTCTGTGACGCCACAAGACATTCCACTGCTGCTGGGGAACCCGGTGTGGCAGGACGAGGACACAGGCAGGCGGGCAATGCAGAGGATGTGACACCTCTGGCAGGAGTGTGTCCCAAGCTGTTACAGGCATCGCTCACGGCGTGATGTCGGCCACATGGGCTTGTCTGGTTTTGTTTGGTGAGTAGGACACATCTGTCTTTCAAGCAAGGTTGTGAGGAACAGCAACCAAACCAGCTGCTCTTTACCCCTCCCCATGGCTCCTCAGCTTTAGCAATTTGAGGGCAAGAGGGAAAGACAGGAGCACCCCTGAATGCCTCAGGTGCAAAGAGATTAAAACTTTGCCAGTCGTCCCTGATTGGAGCTAATATTTTATTCATCAAGGAGGGCCAGAGAGTGACCTAGGAACCAGGGAGGTGGACTCGGAGCTGGATGTAGTGGGCTGAGGCTGGAGCAGAGGTGGAGACTGGGGATGTGATGATGGGGACAGCTGGGTGAGTAAACCAGACATGAGCACAGAGGCACAGATGTAGACGTGACTTGCAAGGCCATAAGGGAAGAGCTATCCAGGTGAAGTGACAGGAGAAAAGAGGTCTGAGGGAGGACCTTGATTAAAGATAAACAGAAGGGGATATAGCTGGAAGAAATGGACAGAAAGGCCAGGCTGCTCTGGCCACATCCTAGCAGATAACCCTGGAGGGGTCCACTATCCCCCATTCTACTCATTCCCCTGCTTTCTGCTAACCCACACATAGTCACCTGGCCAAGTGTGGTGTTCTCCTCTCCTACTGCCTCACCGAGTGCTCAATAACCCCTGCTGTCCTCTTGGGGGGGAAGGTTACATGCTTTTCTTTGATCCTGCTGAATCTACAGACACATAGGTGTTAATAAGTTGGCATAGCTGTTAATAAGACATAGGCCATGAGGAAGCTTTTGTTTTTAACAACAAAAAAAAACCCACCATGTCCTATGCTAAGAGAACATTACAGAGGTTGCAAAGTCAAACTTTGAGCATGCCTGAATCACACTCATTTTGTACTGTTAGATTTGTTCCCCCTGGGCATGGGCATGGTGACCCAGCTCTTTAATTACCTAGCTTCAATGTTTTTACATGGGTGTCGGCTTCTTTAGTCCCTTGGATGGACACTGCCTTTCTAATGAGCAGCTATTAGGTATGTTGTGTCACCCTTATCATTCAGTGTTTGACTCAGATTTATTTACTTGATCCCATTTGAATTCTGCTGTAGACAGATTGACTCATTTCCTCATTAACTTCTTACATACTCTATGTTTTAGAGCTTTACAGCTATTAATTGGTTTCTAGTGATTTTGCAAATGGCAAAATGAGGGCAGAGAGGAATTAAAGTCAAAAACATCGGCTACTTTTAGAATCTCAGTTTGAGCTATCTCAGCCCTGGCTTCTCAGAATACATATGCTAATGTAGCACTTACTTGCCATTCAAAATACACCACACACAGACTCCAAAACAGCAAGAGAGCTCAGCATTCCTATAAACAGCAACCCACAAGGTAAGGAAAATGCCATTAATAACACACCAAGAAACCTGGTACTTGCCTAGCATCACACAGGAACCTCTGTGGTGTAGCCAGGAATAAAACCTACTTCTTCGAAGAGTATCTACAAAACTATCCTTGCAGCATCTTCCTGACTCATTCTTCCATATATCTTCCAGTCTGTGGGAAATGAGGCAGATGTCCTGAATATAGTAAGTGTTTAACCTGGGAAGCCAACTCCCTCACACAGCAGGTGCAGTCTCTACACTGAGGGAGCTACCAAGTCTTTAGGAAGGAAGAGTAGGTTGCTGTGTACTTAACATATAAAAAGCATATGCAAGGGGAGATGAAATTAAGATTGCACAAGAAACTTTTATTTTTCGGCGCATCTAACCTCCAAAAGTTTGATTTCATGAGCTTTCATAATGTTCTTCACAGGGAAGAACTGGCTTTAAGTTTTGCATAGGGGTTCAGTGAATGCTTGGACCATGGTAAGGGCACACACACATCCACTGGAGCATGCTCCATTAACTCGAGGGGTTTGGACCCAGTTAAGTGGAGGAACAGAATTTGCGGAGGCTGAAATTTTGATAGGAAACAGTTCCCTTGCTCCACCCTGACAACAGAGCTACATTCCCAGTTCCATGATTTCCAAGACATTTCTCCCAATTCAAGATTTGAATCTCTAGAGCTTTGGTGAAGGTGCTTCAGCCATGTACTGCCACCAAACACTACACCACTTTCAACATGGGCAGAGAAAGTCTTCCCCAAAGTCTAGACCTCCCATCTTGAGCCTGTTACTGCATTTCCCATTTGCTGGATCCTGCACCCAGACAGGGCAACAAGAGATCTGGGTTCAGCCCTTCAGCTCCTCCACGTGTGCCATGGTTAGCATTTCCTTTGACTCCCTACATTTTATTTTTCACCAGTGCTCTTGGGTTTGGGCTTCAATGCCAGCTCCCATGGCGGGAAGGCACAGCAGCCTGGAACACCACTCTCTGATGAGGAGTACAGCCAGTTCTTCAGGTTCCTCCAGACAGCAGGCCGTGCCAACACTGCCTGCTTCCTTCGCATGCTGTACGGCTGCCAGTACCCCCTGGTCCAGAGGCTGGATGAGTATGAAAACCACGGAGTCATCCCTGAGGGTAAAGACAACCGTGACTCCCAAGGGCAGGCAGATGGGCGGGTAGGCATCCCCCATGGCCAGCACTGAGCTGACCACTGGGAGAGATGGGAGACTCAAGAGCTGGTGGGTGAGAAGGGTGGATAGCAATCCTGCAGTGAGAAGACATCTGCTTGTGAGCATCCTCTATCACACTTGATTGCATCTACGTGTCCTTAGGACTAGCTTCCTCTTATGCCTAGGGTCATGAAAATAACCAAGAAGTGATGGAGTTTCTCACCTGGGTTCAGGGAGGCACCCAAATGGCCATGGGGCTTTTCATGGAGCGATGTCCTTCCACAGTGAGGTTATTGCTGAGGGCTGGTGGGACCCCAGCACTGGAGTTTATAGCTGAGCCTGTGTCTTTATTTGCCTCTTTCTAGGGCCCGTATGCTCTGAACTGCCAAAAAGTCCTATCTTTCCTGACTTCTGCACCTTTTCTTTTTATCGCTGTACTAAGAAAAAGTATTTCATTAAGGTGAGTTATTTAGCTGTTTCCTGAAGACTGTGGTGGTGTGCTCTGGGCAAGCAACAGGCAAAACGGGGCACCCTGGAAATAAGGAAGTGGGAAAACGGGAGGAAGGCGAAAATACAGGGAAGATCCAAGAGAGCTATGGGCAGCCCACCTTCCAGGGGCACTCACACCAAGCTGACTAGCTTACACAGGTGGCACCTGCAGCCACTTGCCAACAAAGAGTCTTTGAAGAAGGTACTCTTCAAGAAAATGAACCTTTGAGGTTCAGCCCTTAGCTCCATCTCTCATTCCCAACCTAGTTGAGACTGTCTATCTAGCTTACTGAAGGAGAAAGGGTGATTCATGCAGCCTAGAAGACAAGGAAAGCAAAGAGAAAGACAACTGGGAGTCACACGGAGACACTTATGGGGAGACTTGACAAAGAAAGGAGCAAAGGTTTCTTCCTTTCTTGGGCTCATTTTTGTAGGAGTGGGAAAGATGGGACTGTGCAGCGAGTTCTAACCCCACAGAATAGCTGCCTGCTCTTGAAGCCCACTGCCTCTACAGGGGAGTGTTTTCTCTTCCACAGAGGATTGCATGCCCAGGAGACAGCAAAGCCAATCTGGACAGCACACGCACCTTCAACGACATGAGCACTGATTCCATGTTGTCCAGCATCTTCAGTACCACCCCCCTTCTCCCCATACGTCCCACAACTGCCCAGCCAAGCCGCTCCAGCCCTGCCAAGGAAGTAGTTGTCAGGGCTCCAGCCCCAACAAGGAAGATCCCCACCTCCTTACCTGCAACCACGCCACAGTCGACGCACATGCAACTAAATCCTTCTGACCCACATGCCACAGAGGTGAGAGCCAGTGGGCAGCAGCAAGGAAAGCTGCCCACCACTGACATGCAGGATCTCCTCCTGAGGCTACAAGATACCCAGGTGCAGAGTTCACTGCAGAGACTTCAGTTGCTGACCATAAGGAAAGCAGCGCCGGAGGAAGAGTTGCAGAATGCTGCCTGGAAGCTGCTGGTGGCCCTGAACAATGTAAGAATGTCTCAGCAGGCAACCGGCACTGATAAAAGGCACAGAAGAGAAAAGTGAGCAGCCAAGGAGGATCAGCCATTGATGCTCTGTTGCACAGTATAGAAACAGATACACTGTCTGAGAGGGGACATATGGGAACATGGAAACAAGAGAAGGCAGCATCATCAAGGTCAACAGTGCTTCCCCAGGCCAAAAGTGTGGGAGACTGAGGTATGTGAAATGGTATTGCTCAGCGTTCAAAGAGAAAGATGTTATCTTCTCGGAGATAACTGTGTTGAAGAGATAGTGTCCTCTCTCACAAAAACTTGTTCACTTGCTGTAGTTCAATTTGGGAGATGGCTGTTCTTGAACAAGGCATGATGGAAAAATAATCTGTTTTTCCTGCTTAGGGTTGTGTCACCATATCTGGCTCTGTCCTGGGCAGAGAGATGGGGTTTGTTGTGTCATTCAATGAATGTTACAGGAGAACGCTGGCCAGTCTTCATCAAATATCAGTGTTCACGCTCAGAAACATTAGGGGAAGAATCTTCTTTGGAAGCATGTGTGTGATTATACATATATATATATATATACACACGGGGTGCGCTCTAAGTGCAGGAAGGCCTTAGTTGCAGAGGGTTGTCAGCTGCTTCTGAAATGACGCTATGAAACACACAGGATAAATGCTCATATTAAGAATCTCCTCTTGTCTCTCTCAGAAAACCAGTCTAATTTATGGGAACTCAGACCGAACTGCTGTTCCTTTTATAAACACTGGACATAGCTGTACGTAAATCTGTGTGAAGCCATCCAAAGCCAGCACTTGCTGTTAAACGCAGAGTGGGAACTCTGCAAGAACCAGCTCCAGTTTTCTGAATCTCCGCTGAATGAGTTTAGAGCTACCTCAGACTTACTCTACACTCCAGTGGTTGGTTTCAGCTTCCAGGAGACCACAGTTAAAGTGAAAATTCCCCATTCACTCCCACTGGCCTTCCTGTAATGTATTCCACCGAGGGCTACGAGGAGAAGGGGGACGAAGGCAGCTCTCCTTATGGATGCACCACACCAAGCACATCCCTGTGGGGAAGGTCCCCTTAACACTGGGGGTCAGGGATGTATGCTTCCCTTAAAGTGAGAGTTGGGGATGTCTGTTCCTTCTACACTGCCTAAGTGACACAAAGACAGCTGAGTGAAATACAGGCTCTGTCTCTATCTACTGAAGAAGACCTCCTTAGGAGATGATCTTGAAATGACAGGTCCTCCATTTGTCCTGGGAAGCGTAATCTTTTCCAAAGCTAAAGGCGGATCACACATGGGAAACGTGCAAGCCTTTGAACAAGAGTGCTCACTTGCTTTAGTGGAGGGCTGCCCAGTCATATACTCACTGGGTGAGACCCCTAATAGAGCACAGGCTGCTCTGACCTCACCCTGCTACACCAGCTCATCCTCTTCCCCATAGAAACCACCCAAACCTGCTATATCCCCTCCTGGGGCACCAGGGCTTCGCATCCCCTCTGCTGCCCGGGCAATGACAGCTCCCCCATCCCCTGCAGCCGGGCATTCCTTGCAGCAGCCTCGGTCGCCATCGGGTCCTGGTGCGCATCGCCCCGTGTGCACCCATGGGGCTGCCACACTCACGGGGTTGCCAGATTTGGTCTCAGCGACCCAAACGCTAGAGACTCCTTACCCAGGTAGCTCCGGCCGGGCCCCCCACGACACGACGGCCCCGGCCGCGGCCTCTGGGCCAGCCTCTCACCGGAGCTGCGGGGTCTGAAGGCCGCGGAGGGCCGCGCATCCCCGCCGTGACCGCCGGCTCCTCACCGGCCCTGCCCGCATGCTGCGCACCTCCCTGCCGCGGGGCTCGCCACCTGCCCGCCCAGCCCCGCGAGGTGCCCTGTCTCTCGGCAATGTCACGTCGCTCCCCCCAGCCCCGCGCTGCCGGCCCGTTACTTCGGGGGACTCCGCTCGCCCGGCCCGGCGCCGCCCCGCTTTTGTTGCGGAGGAGCCGCGCTCCCCCCGGCGGACTTACCGGGGCCATGCGCGCAGCGGCGAGCCGGGGCCGCAGCCGCAGCCGAGGCGGCAGCGGGGCCGAGGGAGGAGGGGGGCGGCGGCGGGACCGAGCGGCGGCGCTGCGGGGCCGCTGTGCGAGGGGCGGTGCGGCGCCCTCCACTCGGCTCCGCTCGCTGGTGTTAACCCCTGTCCGCGCCGGGCGCGGCATGGGCCGGGCCGGGGGTCCCCGGGGAGGGCCCGTACTCCGCGCAGGGCCGCCCCCGGGAGCGAGGCGGCGAGCAGAGCCCCGCCGGTGCGGCCTGGTGGGTCAGCCTTGTTACCCCTGCGCTGGAAGAGGAGGGGTCGCGCCTCAGGCATGCGGTGCTCAATAAGACACAAGCGCCAGGGTGCTGCGCAGCATCAGTTTTCAGTGCTCCTTGTCCACGCTTCCAGCACTGGCTGTGTTTTACAGTGCAAGCCCTGGCACACAGTGAAGCACCAATGCTATAGCCAAAACCAAGAGCTGCTTTCTGTCTCCAGCTCTCAGTGACAGGATGGTGTTTTCCTTCTTGGGCACGCTTTATTTCAGGTGAGTGGAGGCTTCACCCTGGTTCTGTGCCTAAAGGGTTTCTGAGATGCTGGCAATGCTCATCACTGCAGCATCTTTTGCTGGGCTGTCTTATGCTGTACCCAAACAGCAAAAGATGCTTATGCCACAGGAGAGGGTCCATCCATCCCAGGCAAAATTCATCTCTCAATGTACACCCTGCAAGTGCTGTGGATTCACAGGAATTTTTTCCCCAGGGGAATGCAGGAATGTCTGTTGCCTTTGAATGAGAGTAAAGGGGGCTGAGGTACGTGACAATGAGTTTCTAGTGTATTTAACAACTTTTCCGAAGGCAAAGGGAGAAGGGTCATTCCCAAATGCAAAGTCTTGCATAGATAATGCAGTTGCTGACTCCAAAGATGTTAGACAGACACGGAGCTTGAGCAAATCTAGACTTTGCAGCATTCCCTTTGCAGAGGGAAGGACTTTGCACAGATTGCACATTCTTTGTTGTGAGCCTTGCCCCAGCCCCCTCCACCTTCCTTTTGAAGAAGACATTGCCCCTTGTAGGGTGGGCAAGTAAAATTAATACCACACAAGTAGCAAAAACCAACCAGCTGAGCGAGAAGTCCAGCTACCAGAGCATAGGTGCAAAGACTGAGAGGCAAAGGAGGGAAGGGGAAGCATTTCTGATGGGCAGGCAGAGCAAGATCTCTGCCTCTTTTTGTGGAGTGCCGTGAAAGGCCACATGCAGCACAGCTCTGATAACAAACTCGAAGGGACGTGGGAAAAATCCATTTTGACAACAGTTTGTATCAAAAGCAAATTATGAAAGAGCTACATTGTCACTTATTAGTTCATGCTAATCAATATTCCACAGTGAGACCATTGGTATTATCAGAGTTTGCCCATGGGATTTATGAGGCCAGGCCCAATTACCACCTCTGGCCTCTGCGGCAATATTCCACCCTGTCACTGGCATGCTTTTGCTGCCTCCTGAGAGCACACCGCAGTGAGTGTCCTGTACCTGGCTGGCTTGCATCTCAAGTACAACTGTCAGCTCAGTTTTTCAAAGTAGTACCATGGCATTAGCTAAATGGCCTTGGCTAGTTTAAAAAGCACTTGGGAAAACTCAAAATAAGACTTGATGGTCCTTCACCTGTTGCTCCAGTGTGCCCTGTAAACCTGGTTTAAATCAGTTGCACCATTTGTTTAGCAGCCCAGTATAGTGGGTCTATTCCACAGATGGTATCCATACAACATAAACAGTGCAGGCATACATGAAAGCAGAAACTGTGAAAACATGAGTCATTCCACTTACTAGTCCAATGAAACCCCACCACTTTACCCAGAGACGCTGCTGTCTAAAAACGACTATTCCGAACCACCACAATCATTCCATAGTAAGGATATATCACTACCCATTTGGGCAGAGAATGCCTTCACAGACATCTTTTCAACACAGTTTCCAACAGCAGTCCCACCAGGGGAGCATAACTGCAGGTCCCAGCAAAGCAGGGCGTGCAGCGCAGCAAAGCAGGTTTCATCACATCTTTATCTTTCTTCATGGGGGATTCGAAAGCAGCTGCCAGCATGCTTTCCCCACATTTATGTTTATGGAACATTAAGCCTTTATAGGGCGTTAACCATTTCTGCTTTCTCTAACTCCATCTGCACATTGAGACACCTGTGGCCAAAATAAAGCAGAGGAATTTGCCATCAGAAAATGGCTTTTCTGAGCCACACTACTTCTTGATCCTTCTACCTTTATCACAAATCAAGTCTTTTCTCTGAAACTGAGGGCAAGGGCTATTAATTCCAGTTAAAAGTATATCACACATTGGCTTTCACTGATTTTCCTTCTGTGTGAAGGTTATTAGCAACAGCAGCTGAATTGCACTATAAAGTAGTGAAAAAACAGGAAATATTACACACTCCAATTTAAATGTAAAGGAAAGTGGAATCGATAGAAAAGGTTAACAAGCCTTTCTTTGCTGCTTCATGACTGTGCAAAAATGTCCAGCTCTGTCTCCCCAGGCTGTATTTCACAGTCTTGCCAGACAAGTCCTTACCCCCGTTGTTTTACTTTTTAATCTCAGCAGTAATAGGGTCATTATTTCCTAGTTTCCTTGATGGTTGTGATCTTTGGCAGTCTCACACATCTTATGAGCTTATTCCTTCAGTTAAGAACTCAAGTCCTTAAAGAAAATCTTCCTTGGTAATTAAGAGGTGAAAAAGCCCAGCCTGCTATATATTAGAAAGGAATGCCTTAAATAAGTCTGAAAACTCCAACACAAAACCAGAATCAACAATACCAATTCAGTGAGCACCGTTTAATTTTATTTTATTTCTTCTTCTTTTTTTTTTTTTTTGGCCAATATTCTGCAGCAACTGTTTAAGTTTTTCAAAGCAGACTGAAGTTGAGTCAATTATTCCAGCTCCCCTAAAATGAACAGTTTTGTGGCTAAAGCTGGCTACAGTTGGCTGGAACTCTTAATTACCCGTTTGCCCATCAGGCACAGCCTTTCAAAGCAAACAAGGT